GGATTTCAGCCGCGAGGTACTCAAGAACAGCAGCGAGGTAGACAGGGGCACCTGATGGATACGCGTTAGGAATAGCAAATTAGAATGGGTTCGATGAACATGACTTACCAGCACCAACACGTTGGGCGTAGTTGCCCTTTCGGAGAAGACGGTGAACACGACCAACTGGGAATGCGAGACCGGCCTTGGATGAACGGCTAAAAAGGCAAATGAATTAGCATTGAAGATTCAAGATGGAAAAGTGACCATGGTATCCAGATACAAACGCGAATTGCAAGTTGAATCGAAAAGTCGCGAGGTATGATGTGAAGACAAGGGAAATGCAACTTACGATTGAGCGTTCTTGGTAGTTCCCGCCTTTCCTCCAGCAGATTTTCCTCCAGTCATTTTGAAAGTGTTTAAAAGGTAAAATTAATGTGGGAAGTTGTTAAGTTGGTGGATGAATTTAATTCAAGGAAGAATTCTGGAAAGTGGTTTTTTCGAAAGTTTTGCGTGGATGGAGAAGAGATGTTTTGAATTAAAAGAAGATGGGAATGGGGACGAACATTTATCAACAAGAGCCGTCAAAAGTCGTGATCTGATCTCCTCTGCCCATAAAAAAACACCGTAAAGAGCTCCTTCCATGAGCTAGAGCGTTTTAGGGTATTTTATAAGCAGAAGGCACGACCCGCAGATTGAACGAATTATGTGATTGGTCATGACGGCGGTTCCACATTAATCGGGTATCCAATCATCGATTTTAGAGAGTCCCCAGCAGCACGGTTAGCAAAAGGGCACGAAAGTGATTTTGGCCGACTTATTATTCATTTAAACTCTTCATCTCCCAATTTCAATCCCCTTCATCTTTGATAACTTTAACAACAAACCACACCCACGTCCATCTTCCATCTTCACACTTATTAACATCAACATCAATCTCCAACCTCACATTTTTCAATCCAAATAAATCTTAAATTCAAAATGCCACCAAAGGGAGTTGCAAGCAAGGCACCAGCTGCCGCCAAGGTACGTGTTTACTCTCGCGGCGCGCTCCAAATATCATCTTCTAACACCTTTCAAAACAGGCACCTGCATCCGCATCAAAGGCCCCAGCTAGCAAGCAAGATGCTGGCAAGAAGACCACCACCAGCGAAGGAAAGCCACGCAAGAAGAAGGGACGCAAGGAGACCTACTCTTCATACATTTACAAAGGTACAAACCCACTCGCGATTTTCGGTCGCGCTTCCAATCATGACGCGTCGCATTTACCAAACAACAACCACTAACATTTTGAATCCATAGTTCTCAAGCAAGTTCACCCAGATACTGGTATCTCCAACCGCGCCATGTCCATCTTGAACTCCTTTGTCAACGATATCTTTGAGCGCGTCGCCACTGAGGCATCCAAGCTCGCTGCTTACAACAAGAAGAGCACCATCTCATCAAGAGAAATTCAAACCTCGTATGTGCCAACCCAATTACATCCGCATATCTCATTTCTAACTATCCCGCAGTGTTCGTCTTATTCTCCCCGGTGAACTCGCCAAGCACGCCGTCTCTGAGGGTACCAAGGCTGTTACCAAGTACTCTTCATCCACGAAATAAGTTGTCTTTTCTTTGGGGTTTAGGGGGGATATCGGATATGCTTGAGCTCTGGGGTCATCTCATAGATGATGGCTGTTGTTGTTCGAGGACCTTGGGGTTTTCTTTTTAATGCGTTATGGATGGTCTGCTTTTTATGGGGGCAAATGTCTTCACGGTCTGTTTTCGGGGTACGTGGCTGTACAATAAACAAACGTCTTCATCAGAATAGGGAATTAGAAGACGAAATTCAAACATCAACTTAATTCACTGTCACTTATTAGGTCCCATACAATGTGGCGCATGGTTTTTATCCTCTTATATAGAGGAATGTCATTAATAGAGTTAGATCGCGCCGCGATTCGAGTTTGGACTCGTGTTGTCAAACACAAGCATTCTACACTAACCCCTATTTAGTGACCATCGCCGAGTACGTGTTCGAGACCGTATCGACTCGAATTGAACGCATGGGCGACGAGTCGGTTCGCGACATCTCGTCCATATTTGCGGCTTCTTATCCTAGACCGGCTTTTGTGGTCTTTACAACGTGTGAAACTGGCTGAAGAATGCCCTTATTATCGAGCGCACCAAGAGCTGTGCCGGCACTCCAGCCCATCTTTTCTAGCATCGCTCTTCCTTTGTTCTCAATACCCAGTTCGGGAGCCGATGCCCCGACAACATCACCATCACGATAACTAGCAGCACCGAAACCGCCTCCAAAACCACTACCACCAGTTCGGCCGCCACGTTTGGGCGCAGCGCCTGTTTTTCTCCCACCTACGTCATTACGCGGAAGGAAACGACGTGAAAGCTTCGACGCTGCAGCTTCATAGGCGCGCTCTCCATAAACAGTCGTTCTTGAAGTACGGTACAAGATAGGATAACGTTTATTGCCTAAACCAGCTGATTTGGACTTCAATTTGAATGCATTGGCGATCTCGTGAACAAATTTGCGGTCGGCTTTGTCCATCGCAGGAAGAGAAAGGCTGTAATATGTTAGTGTGGATTAAGAAGATCAGAAATGATACTGACGTGATATTGTCACCCTTCAAAAACTCCTTGATTTCTTCCTTGACATCATCAATACTCATTCCTTCCTTGTACCTTGCCTTCATATCGGGCTTGCCATGCTTGCCAGTCAGTAAACCTCGTGCACGTAATACTTCACGTTCCTGCTTTCTCTCCTTTTTCTTAACACGATCATTGTCCCAAGCTGATTGCATTGAGGCCTCAAGCTCTGAATCCGAGATATCGTCTAGTATCAACTTGCCCTTGCGACCTTTAGGTTTCTTTTTGAGACTCGGTCGATCGAAATCCATTACATCAAATCCATCGTAAGCGTCGGCCAATGGAGCTGCAGGTAGAAATTCGCCCTGGCGCCGCTGTCTTTCCTTCCTGCCTCTTCTGCCTGAAAGTATGAAATTACTGAGATCAATCGTAGATGCTTCCATGTCGTCATCCTCATCATCGACTTCATCGTCGAAGAGAAGAATTTCATCACCGCCCATACCAAGCTCCTCTTGCTTATTTATCAGTCTTGCAATTTGTTCATCATTCATTTTTGCGATCCTCCTTTGAACTAGATCCTGCTCGTCATCATGGTCGTCATCGTCTCCATCGGCAATATCGTCGGAATCATCACTGTCTTCGTCTCCATTACTTTCGAATTCGGCAACCAACTTCTCTTCAGCTTCAAAAACCTCAATGAGAGGCAGTGCCCCGGAATCCTGTAGAACATCCAGCGGAACCCATCTGGCTTCGTCTACGTCCTGATGTTCCCAGACGATCAAGTACTGCACGCCACTAACACGGTGCCTTTTTGATAAAATCGTTTCGACTTTGCCCCTGGCCTCATCCGACGTGCTGAGATCGTCAAAATCCTGCAATTCTGTCCGACCCCATCCGTGACGTCCATCAGAATCATGAGTTTCTTTAACAGAAGAATCATCTTCCCAAGCAGCGTCGTCATCGCCTCCCAACTCACGTTTGTTGAATGTATGGTCGACCTCAGCCATAGTCTGTTCCTGATCCATGTTCGCAATGTAGTCTGCAATCATAGCATCCTCTTCGTCACTATCATCGATTCTGTCGGTCACTCGTCTACCTCGTCTAGCACGACCTTGACCTCGACCTTTATTTTGACGCTTGGGTAATATTGCCTCGAAATCTGGAGAAGGTGAGTTTGCTACCTTATGTGACGTCGCGCCCAAAAATATCTCCTTGTTCAATGCTTCTGCCAGCTCGGGTGGAATAGACTCTAGAGATGCCTCCTTCTCATCTAAAGCTTCTTCCAATAGCTTTTCTTGCTCAAGAAGTTTATCATCTAAGAACTTGATCCTGGCATCTATAGGATCTGCGCTTGTTGGGGGGTCATGTTCTATCCTGGCATCTTCGTTCCTTACTTGACCACGTCCGTGAAAGAGAATGACTTCTTCGCTTGAGTCTGACCTAGCTGGAGAGATTGAGCGCAAACGCGGTGGTGCAAGGCCTGTCTCAACACGGTTACCACCATCGGTATCTATCATGAACGACAAAGAGGGTGAAGCCGCCCTCATTTCGCGATTCGCTGTTTTCACATCTTGGGTCAAGTTTCCTGCAGGTAATTCTGCAGATTCCAAGCTCATTCCAGCCAGTGCCTCCTCAGAATCCTTGATAATATCTGGTGGATTGAACTCCCCGGCGCTGACAAAGCTCACTTTTGTATCCCTCAATCTTTGATCAGAGTTCCAAAATGAATGATGACGTTCAGTATTGCGAGCTTCTTCTTGAAGTGTGAAACCTACAATATACCAATTTTGTTAGCATTGACCAACATGTCTGGTAGAACAATGGCAATTGCATTCGCATTCGCATTCGCCAGAGATTATTGGTATGGAAAATATATAAACATTACCAGTCTGAGGCCTTTGCGGAACATATGTGCCAGCGAATGGTATAAAGGAGGTTCCAGGAGTAGGAGTTCCGCGACCACCTCTAGGTGAGCTGAAATTGCGCCTCCCACGAGCGCCACCCCGTTTGTTTCGTGGCATAGCTTGTGTTATCACGGCACAATGAAACTGTCAATAGAATCGAAGTTTACGGATGGTAAACTGACGTAAAGATCCTTACGACGAATGTTAATTTCGATCAGGAAAAGATGAAGAATGTTTTGCCATCAATGAGAATAATTCGAGTGGTAGGTGAATAACCTAGTGATGAGTGTGTTAGGCTACAGGGTAGGCAACTCAGGTACTGGTCGGTGTTGTGTGTAACAAAATCAATTATTATGATAGATTACTGCGCTGCACGAAGATGTGTACTAGTAGCTTTTTTAATCCAATAAGATGCTGGCAATTTGTGGGCACTTCGCCTTCGCTAGTCAGCTTTTGAATAAATATGGATGTCTAGGTAATGAGGACTTGGAGAGCTTCTTATCGATAAGAAACTATTAAAAGGTGGGTCTGTAGTACTCCGTACAGGAGGAGAGGAGATATGGAGAAACAATAAATACCTTGTTCACAGGTGTCCAGAAGATACCTACTCGGAGACACTACTAAGTAAGGCTCTCGAGTACCAATACTTTAATGCCTATTTAGTACCTACTAGGTAGTATCTTCTTAACTTCTTATCCAATTAATAATTCATTACATCATCAACCAAGTTCCTGCCGAGCTAGGCTACAGTTGCTAGGTACCTTTCTCCCGTCAGTCGCTGCACATGCACTTCCAAAATGAAAGTGTCGTGTTGTCGTGTCTAAAACATTCACAGAAGAACGCACTAGGCCAAACAAAGTATCATATTTGACTACTACGTGATAACATCAATCAGAACATCAGCTGCCTTCGCCTTGCAGCACTCACCTCATCTCATACTACAAACAATCTGCAACATTTCTCGACTTATCAAATGTTTACTTATTTATAATACTTTTACTTCAACTACACTTCTTCCATCAGCTCTATACTTCCACTACAGCATCCGTCAATAATCCTAATCAATTTCCCCTCAGCTCACCGTCCCCGCCATTCTCTCCCATAGCGCTCTACAAGTCTTATGTGCATCCGATACGACTTGAATACGAATCATAGTCGCATTCAACCATGACGGCGGCTGATATAGGTCGTTACAAACGCTTCGTCCAGTATTTCTGGGACCCCGAGCCTACAAACGACACTGCCTCGCAGTCACCTATTTGGTGTTTAGGAAAAGAATACCCTATTCTGGAAAAGTCGCCCACTTCAGTTATTACAGACTCCCCTCCCCAGGAAGGACAACATCTACCCGCACAGTCTTTACCTACCAATGTTACAACTCCACCTGATAGTACCGTTGGCAGTCTTGAATCAAGTTCAGGCTATCAAACTTGCGACGCAGCCAATGCAGATGGAGGATGGCCATCCGCATTCCTTGATGATTTTGAAGCCAAGATATGGCTTACATACCGATCAAGCTTTCCAGCGATAGCTAAGTCGCAGGATCCAAAAGCCTTTTCTGCAATGTCACTATCAGTACGATTGAGGAGCCAACTTGTCGACCAAGGAGGCTTTACATCTGACACGGGGTGGGGTTGTATGATAAGGTCTGGACAAAGCCTTTTGGCAAATGCATTGCTTACTCTGAGAATGGGCAGAGGTTCGTTCCCTTACCATCACTTTCTTCGATGCCTTAGCTGACCATGACATAGAATGGCGCCGCGGGATATCTAGCCACGAAGAACGTAAAATCCTATCTTTATTCGCAGATGACCCGAGAGCTCCTTACTCTATTCACAAATTTGTCGAGCACGGTGCAAGTGCTTGTGGGAAACATCCTGGAGAGTGGTTCGGACCATCTGCTACTGCGCGCTGTATCCAGTAAGAAGACTATTCGAGTGGAATTTGAATAATGGCTGATAATCTACAGGGCTTTGTCCAATAACCAAGCCAAATCAGAACTGCGTGTATACATCACGGGTGATGGATCGGACGTATACGAAGACACCTTTATGAGTATCGCAAAGCCAAACCACTCAGACTTCACCCCGACTCTCATTCTAGTCGGTACGAGGCTGGGCCTTGACAAGATAACTCCTGTCTACTGGGAGGCACTGAAGTACTCCTTACAGATGCCACAATCTGTGGGGATAGCTGGGTGAGTCACTCTGAGTTTCATTTAACATGATCATATAATAATCCAGTATAGGGGTCGCCCATCCTCCTCGCACTACTTCATTGGTGTGCAAGAGTCAGATTTCTTCTATCTGGATCCTCATCAAACACGACCAGCACTTCCGTACAGAGATAATATGGATGACTATACTACAGAGGATGTTGACTCGTGCCACACTCGTCGACTTCGAAGACTCCACATAAAGGAGATGGATCCCAGCATGCTTATTGCATTCTTGATACGTGACGAGAACGATTGGAATGAGTGGCGACGGGCCGTTAAGGAAGTACAGGGTAAGGGAGTTATCCACGTTGCAGACACGGACCCGGCATCGTATGGCTTAGGCGGAGAGCGAGATGGAGCTATTGACGAGGTTGAAACATTCGACGACGACGATGACGATACCATATTAGACGCTCAAGGCGCTGGGAAATGATCCACCAAAGGAATTCAGGTATTTAGGGCGTTCGGGGTAGGTGATTTTTATAGAGATTAGTCTTAATCCTTTCTTATCGCAAATTACAACTTTGATTGGTTTTAATGTTTAAGACCTCATGTGAACATCGAAATATACCTCCAATCCCAACCCGTTTGTGCTACTCGAGTCTATCCAAGTGTCCCATTTTGATCGAAAAACAATCAAGTTCTCGCAGGCTATAAAGATTCAAAATTGTTAGGACATGTTTCAAAAACAACGAAGTTTGGTCCAGACGTGCATGTCCAAGGGGCCATGCAATGGAAACGGAATTTACCAAAACCACCATGGACTTATACCAGTGGATTGTAACCTTTACATATCGTCGAATAGATCGATTTAGAAATGATGAATGGGCTGATTAGTTAATCTTCAATGTCTGCTTTCAAGGTCAGATCACAAGCATTTGAATGGCTGGTCATTATGACAAGGAAACTCATTAGATTTGTGCTCAGCGGGGGAGCATGCCTGCCATTCTTTGGAACGCCTCTACATACAAATAAGGGTATAAAGCTATAGTAAACCACATTCAATGCTCTAAACTTCATAATTTAGCTCCCATTTTTTATTTCCTCTTTTTTGAATTGCCAGCTTTTTGTACGGGCGAGGCATGGCCAAATTCTTTGATATGATTGAAGAGTTTGCTCTTTGAGGAGAACGACTCATGACATGTCACATTGGCACATTTAAACTGGAATCTCATGAGCACCAAGTGATATAAGTGAAGAGAGGATCACTTACATTTTCGCCCTGCAGCCCTGCAGGTTCTTTTTGAGCAGCTTTCTTGGCACGTTTCATTTTCGCTTTTCCAAGAGGTTTCTTTGGAGTAGGATCGCTAGAAGCATCTTGCTCTATATCTTTGGTTGAATCTTGACCAGGGTCCAGATCCTCGGTTTCAGGAGAGAGTGTATCTCCCGATACTGCTGCCGCTAGTCTTTCCTCAACTGCTGCCCTGGGTGCGTAATCATCATTTAGGCTGTCGATATCGGAATCGTCTTTGGCCGGACCGTCTAATTTGCCGGCATTCAAGTCGTGATCATATGGCGAGCGTCTCGCTTCTTCAGCTTCAGTTGCACCATCGAAAGCAGACTCAGAGTTCCCATTTTCTGACGTAACTTCAAGTCTTTCGAAACCATCATCAAGGTCACTACCCTTTGGTTCCGGTGGTGTATCCAAATGTAGAGACTTGTTATCTTTGCGCATTTGTTTCTGGATAGCCTGTACAGCCTTGGTATGTTTTTTACTTTTCGTGTGCGCCTCAAATTGGTTCTCGCTTTTGAATGTCTTGTTGCAAACAACGCACTCTATTACTTCAACCTCAGACTCTTCAGATGATTCTTCGATTGCACCTTCAGATTCATCGGATTTCGCCCAGTCCGGAACTACATAGCTGTTCAACTTGGCTTGATTTGCCGCTCGTTTACGAGCTGCCTGGGCCGATGCAGCATCCCGCAATATTTTCTGTCTCTCCTCCTGGGTTTGTGAATTCGGAGTAAAGCGGGGATCCCTCTTTCGCGCAAATAGAACGAGATGTCTAACGGCATCATTAAACTCTGCTTTGGCCTCATCCCGGGACCTTTTATTTTCTTTCTCTATCAATCGGCGGGTTGCCCTATCCAGCGCATCGGAGGTCCGGTAGAGGTCTTTCCATGAAAATGACTTCTGAGTTGTGAAGTTCACCCAGGCTCTATAAAAGGATTTGACTACGTCCTCATAGTTATCCTCAGCGCTCCCAAAATCAGGATAATCGACTAATTCAAGGCCATCCCAATCGCATGCTGATTTCTCCTCTCTTGCAAGAGTTGCGAATGTCTCTCGAAGTATACCAAAGAACCCATTCGGAGCATCCGTGAAGGGGACACTGGAATCGAATTTTCCAATCAAGCTTATGATATGCGCTGCGCTCGTTATTCGAACATTATCTGCAAAGTCGTCTTCCGCAGGATCACCGCCTCCTAGGATTGATAATCGATGAGAGTCATACCAGGCTCTTTCTTGTGGATCTGACAAGACCTCATAGGCAGATTGAACTTCGGCAAACTTCGCGGTGGCAGTTTCAACATTGCCATAATTTCGATCGGGATGAAGTTCCAGCGCTTTTATCCTATAAGCCTTTTTGATCCTAGGTACATTCAATCAATCTTAGAATAATGAGTTACAAATTAATGTCCAAGTTCTTACTCATCATCTGAAGCTTGTCGTTCGACGCCCAACAATTCGTAGTAACATGTTTTCATGACTACCCCGCCATTATTTTGTGCATCCCCACCACGCGACGAAGATTGTTCTGCGCCCATAGAATAGAGGATTGAAATCGCTTTCTAGATGGTGTTCAAAGTATAGGCAAGCAACGGAACCTTGCACGTAGGTAGGTGGGCGATATTGGATTTATTATATTTTAGTACGATAAAGAACTTCCTGAATGGTTTGTGTATGAATGTACGATGAATGTATGAAATAGGTACCAAAAACAATCAGATAAGGAAAAAAAGAGTAAACCGAATGATAGGTACCTGGATCCCTCGGTACTACCGAGGCCGATAACGCGCATTTGGACAATACACCAAAAATAGATTTTTGTTTAAACTAAAACCGTATTTAGGTTTTTGTAGTGTGTATTTAAGAATAAGAATTCTTTAATCCAGTATGCAATCTTAAAGGAATTAATGAAATAAAAAGAAAAGATATATATTTATTAATTAAAATTCAAGGAATTGATTGGTATAATTACTTTTGAATCATTTCAAAAAATTGAAATTTATATTTAATTTAATAATACTTAAAGAATAAAAGACTGAATATCGAAATTTAATCTTTTTCAAATCTATTGTAATATTTCTATATTGAATACAAATTTCAATTTTTGAGATAATTCAAAAGTAGTTATATTAATCGATTTTTGAATTTTAATTAATAGTTATACTTCTTTTTTTCATTTTATTAATTCCTTTAAAGTTGTATATTGAATTAAAGTATTCTATTAGTATTAATGATATTATCTAAGATTAGATTAGTTATTAAGTTTAATAATTAAGACATCAATATAAAACAGATTCCGAATTCGAATTTGAGTATAATTGTCACGGGGTGACACTAAGCCCTTTCTGTCCTGTCCTGTCCTGCTATATATGTGAGAGTAAGGTAGAACTTCCAGTTCTACCTCCTAGTCTTTTGGGCGTTTAGCTTAGCGGTAAAGCTTCTGAATACTCCCAGAGGTGATCCCGTGACAATAATAAAAGTAATTAGAATTGAATACAAAATTTAACCTTTGAAATGATTTAAAAAGAAATACATTAATCGATTTCTTGAACTCTAATTAATAATTAAATCACTTTTTCTTCTATTTCATTAATTCCTTGAAAGTTATTTATTTTATTTATTTTATTTTATTTATTTATAGTAATTAACGTCTAATATCTAACCTCCCAAAGGGTATTCTAGATATATTAAGGAGCAGACCTACAGGCCACTAACATTCCAGCTACTTATAATAGTATAATGTTAGCTAATCAAAGCTTATTGCCTCTAATATTCCCCTACTCAATATTACTCGTAACAATCCTGCAACTATTTTGTTTAAAGATTTGTAATCCTATTTCAGAAAGCCTTATTTCGTATACTATCCAAATATCAACAAATAATCGAATCAATCGCTATCAATCAGAAATATACTCGAAACACTTATAACTGATCGATACAGATCTTAAATTGATTAAAATAGAAAGTTTATCCTCGAAATACTAAAACAAATTAAAATTCGTATAATTACATATAATTTGAGTATATTCTGATATAGAATCTGGATTTAATAAGAAAATCAATAAAGCTATATTGTATTTACAAAATACAATTGATATATATTATTATATCTCATTCGAATCGAAATCGATTTGATACAAGCAGCTAGTCGCTATACATCTGATTATTAGTTGGGTATTGAAAGAAGTACAATAAGCTTTTCTCGATCCTGTATATATAGGTATTTATACTATTTTCGTGGTTGAATCTGATGTGATAGACCGCAAAGTCACCGTGTCCGGTCCGCATCACTATAAGTCTGTGTAGTACCCCGCGAGGGAGCTTGAGGCTCCCCTCCTTGAAAGTTATATACTAAATTGAATTCTTTTTTTCAATATTATAGAAACTATTTAAAGCTAATACAATTTAAACAAAATAAGCTTGAGCTCGAACTTCAGATAAGAATTCTTATTAAGCTTTTCTCGCTTGTTTCGCTTACTCTAAAGTAATCTATATATTATAAAAAAAACTATTTGAAAATAGATTTTAAATATTAATACACTTCTTATAGAAAATTTTGAAATGAATTCTAGAAACAAATAAATAAAACTAACCTTAAAAACTATTCAATAATATAATTTTTTTCACAAAAAATCTTCAATAAAATTGAATTCTATCTTTCTTTATAAGATTTCTATAAACACACTATACAGATTCTAAAATTTCTTTTTTCATTAAGCAGAAATCTATTTTTGGTATATTGTCCAAATGCGCGTTATCGACCTCGGTAGATGTACTACCAGGTATGTAGGTACCGTACCCGAGCTACCCAAATTTACAAGAATGGCGAGAATGGTAATAAGTGTATGAATCTTATTACATAAGCATCTTGATGGTGGAGGTGCAATGCTAGACCAGGTAGGGACTAGGTAGATATAAAATCTGATTTTTTCTCAAGATGGCACATGGAGGTATGGAGGAGTTTTGTGATTAGGAGACAAGCTAGTTTTTCTGCACCCAGTAGATATAGTATTAGACAGCACGTGCATGACTAGAAAGCTCGAGGTAGTTGGGATAGCCATTAGCATTTGCACCGTTGAGACTCTACAGAGACGCGAGAGAGCAGACTACTGACTCAATCACCGGTCTCGAGTCGGTCCATAGGTTAGCCGGTAGCATTGCTAGGTGGGTACTCCTATGTGCTACCAGGTACAGGTAGGTAGGTACTCCATTCCATCCCCATTCCCAAGGAGTCAAGAACGCGCGAACCGGTACCCAGGACTTATTAGAAGTCAGAACTCCCTATGGAGTGAGAATCTTGATCTTGAAGTAAAGTCTTTGCACGTTTTTGGATAGATTCATGTTGAAGCGGACAAGGCCTGCATCAAGCACTTGTCCCTGTCTGGAGTCTGGATATCTGATAAGCTACTAGGTATCTTGAACCCAGTCCAGTCACACCTTCACACAGTCTACCAGGTAAGCTCATACGGATTTTGTTTACTCACTCCCACTCACTCCCGCGCACTCCTACTCATTGTCAATAATTCTACCTACATATTACATATTACGAATACATAGCTTTTGAGAAATCTTCTTCCTCTGGAATATCTTCATCTTGCTCTTGCCTATCAAACTTCTTCGTCAATAATTTGATACCTAAGCTTAAAGCTCTATACCTACCCGCTATCTGCATCCTTAAGAATCCCAACTAACAGTCAAGATAGTCCTTGCCCTGCGCGAAAAATTGTAAATATTCTCATCGCCATCCCACCCACCCCCTTTTGCTCTTTTCAAACAATGCCACATAAATCTTTCTTCCCAATAGCGTTATAGCAGACAGAGCGACAGATTTACAGCATTAGTCGACTAATTACATTTTATTGTACTGCATGCCTTTATTATGAAATTTGCCAAAGAATTCAAAGATGCCCTTGCCAGAGAAGGCTTTCCGCCACGCTGGGTAGATTCTGCCATTCCTTATGGTCTGCTCAAGAAATCTCTTAAAAAGGTCGGTCAGAATTTCGCACCGATCAACAAAAGCTAATGTAAGCCAGATTGCGACCGAGTTAGCACAATGCGGTCTGGATCCTGCTGCGCTTGCAAAGTTGAGAGAGATTTCCAGTACTGGTCCTGCGTACTTGTATGATTTCAAGGGTATGAATCACCTTCTACGTTTATGTTGATCTGCGTAAAGAAACTAATTGAAGAAGGGTCGAAATTTCGGCCCACCCTCATCTTACGGCTTGAACAAGGTGTCACCGTTGATGCTAGGCTGTCAGCTGACACGAGAAGATATCTAGAGGATCTGGTAAATCACCATCGGGACCTTTCAGACGTGTCGCTATCCGATCCCGCTGGTGATGAAGGTGGCCAAATTGTTCCTACGTGAGTGTGTTCTTTTGATTCTTAGGGTATGTGTAAACCAGTTGTTGACATGACTTGTAGAGATTCATCGTCAGAGATTGAGGTGGAACGACCTCTTGTTCGGGAAGTCGAAGTGCCCCTGACTTTCGATGCAGAATTCTTCGGTCTTCTGCAGGGAGATGTTGAAAATCTTGATGCACTCCAAGACGAAGAACAAAGGGCTCTCGTCGCCGAGGTTGGCGATCTTTCAAAAGAGCTCGTGAAGCTCAGCGAGCCTTCAAGGTTCAAAAAGACCGACCAGTATCGGTGGAGAGAATTGTTTGATGTTTACGTACAGGCTGGAATATTCTTTTCGGATCTCGAAAAGGATCATGGTAAGCGTGATAGTGTAGCTGCATTGAAGCGTTTACAGTAAGTAAGCACATTTTAGTAGGCACGCCGGTACTTGACTAATGATACGTTTCGCAGATGGTTCCAGAGTGAAGTAGTTAAAAGAGGCATCGTAGATACATTCAAACTATCCCCTAGCCGTAAAGCATGTACGTATTGTACACTCTAGTCTTTCTCGAGTGAAGATACTGACCTCAATAGTGAACCAGTTTATCAGCATTAATGTTACGCTACTCCAAAATCTCCAATTTCAGGAGATCAACCAAAAAGCTATTGCTAAGATATTGAAAAGTACGTTCTACACTTGTTCAATTCTCATGGTTAATATCTGGGCACCACAATGACGTATCATTTCTCTTACGGAATCACAGCTAATGGTAATTAGAATTTGACAAGAGGACAACGCTTGGTGCTAGGCAAACATTCCCCAGACTGATCCAATCCGACGTTATCATGACGGAAACGATGGCCAGATCTGTATGCGCACAGGTGACACAGGATCTTGTTCAGATAGTACCTCAGTTGAGTGATTATACTTGCCCTGTCTGTCTGGCGATAGTATGGCGACCAATAAGAATGGAATGCAATCATGTTCTATGTGTTCGATGCACGGTGTTCATGCAGCGGCGTGGGACCAATGCCTGCCCCTTATGCCGAGACGAAGTGATTTTAAAGGCTGATCAAGGTAATTTCCAACACGCAGATCTGAACAAAGTGGAAGAGTACCCAACTGATGCTTATAGATAACATCGATGAAAAACTCTCCAAGTTTCTCTTACGGAATTTTCCCAAAGAAACAAAGGAAAAACAGATTGAGCATGAAACGATAGATGGCAGGGAGAGGTTTGGCATTTACTATACCCATCCTTCGGAGCAAACTCCCTTACAAAGATATTGTACTATCATGTAAATGGAGCCGTTGGAAAGCACTTTTAGCATTCATCATCTTCAGCGGGAGTAGGAGTGGCCCAGACAGCACTTTACGGCGTCCAAAGGCGATGACAATGGAAATTATCAATCGGGATGTTTATTAGATAATGATATGATACATACAACAGCACAATCATTTTATCACATTTTCCACTACAAAAATAAAGAAGATCCCGATTGTAGTTGTGGTTTTTAGTTGTGGTTTCAGTTGTAGACGTATTTGCAGTGGTAAATGTTTATACCTGTCTCTTGAACATCGTAGCATGTCATTGTGAAGGGAGGGATTATCTATTCTGCTTTGAAGCGGGGTAGGTCCTGTGGTTTGCATCTAGACAGTATGACAGTATGCGCATTGTGCGGGTGGAGCTGGTATGATGTACTTACTTCAGCCAAGGTGCATTTGATAGGCGATACCACAACAATAAAACGGAATTCTCGATATTCTCATACAATACTGTGCTGTGAATTCTCCAGAACAAATCCTTATGGACGCCCGATTCAATTGTTTGAATTCTTATCATTATTCCAGTGATTTTCTCCAAGTATGGCCGGATTTCTTTGGCTCAGATAGGGTCATACAAAATGATGTTTGTTTCGATCTCCGTCATACATTTCTTTCCCTAGGTAGTGAATAGGGAATACTCATCCTTTAGTGACTTGCCGTCTGAACTATCTGAACCATTTGAACGACTCCGCGCCAGTCCTAAGCATTCTCAAGTTTCACGACCCTCGACTTCAGAAACACAATTATTTCATTTTATTTGAAGTGACGCAGCAATTACATTCGAGAGGTGAATTCCAGAGCACAACTACGACTGCCAAATTGGCATTTCATTTTTTGCGATGACTCCTAACGATTCTGCAAGCCGAGGTTTTACTTTTGAAATTCTTCCCAATGAGATTGTGCAACAAATACTCTACTTCAGTTCTCCGCACGATACTCTCTCGAATATCCAACTGGTTTCAAAGCGATTCAATCGCTTGGGGAATGAGCCATTACTTTGGCGATACCACTGTCGCGTACACTTCAAGTACTGGGATGCGAGACATGCCGTTCTTCATAAGTTTGCCGGTATTGTAGGAGATGTGAATTGGAAAGGTTTATATATCCATCGGGAAAACGTAGATACAAGAACGACAGCCGCTTTGAATGGTCTTCTCGAGAGTCGAGCTAATCGTATTGTGAACTTCGAAGAAATTGGACGTTTTGGATATGACGCAAAAGATGCACTTTTGCGACACAGTCGCATGCGTGGCGATGATTATCTTGCTAGAAAGTAAGCTATTCAACGCGCAGATGGTTTCTTTTCTAATATATACATATATAGGTACTATGCTTGTGCAGTGCTTGACTTCATTCATCGCTCAAAAGCTCTCGCAGTATGGTCGAAGCTTGCTAGGGGCGAGGAGGTATCCCTGGAAGCAGCACTGGGAGCTTACGATATGTTTGTTCTACATGACAACATCGGGGATTTTCAGGAGGTATGCATTTCCTTCAATATTGCTGTATGCGTGTGAATTTTAACTGATGAATTGGCATAGGTTTCCGATATTCTTGACAACCTTGCCACTTGGGTTCGAACTGACTACCCAAAATTCGATTGCATGTCTACTCGACAACAAGCCCTCGCAGTCGTTACGTTTCTGCGCGACCGTAACCTTTTAGGTCTCAACAATGAACTCAACTATCGCAATTTACAAAATAACTATATTAGTCTAGCACTGCAGGAGCCAGAGCATCCTTCGTTGCCACTGGTGTCTGTCGCAATATTTTGTGCGGTAGCTCGAAGAACTGGACTCGATGCTAGGGTCTGCGGTATGCCGAGTCACGTATATGCTATGGTTCTCCCGAAGCCTTCTATAGACCTCGATGACAAGCCACTCAAACAGAAGGACAGCGCCGTGGAACCCATGTATTTAGATCCATTCCGATCAGCATCAGAAATCCCTTTGGAAAATCTTCAGCGATTGTGGACGGCTTGGGGTGTCCGAGGAGTATCATTCTCCGAATTCGTCGCGGAATCTTCTGCTACCAACAATATTGTACTCCGCACGACTAGAAATATAGTTACAACCATTCGAGAGTTTCCCTATATACGAAGTCGTCCCGCACAAGACCCATCCCTCGTGACTACTAGATTACAGAGTGTGCCATTATTGGAAATGGATCATGCAATATACTCAGTCACCTGGGCAAGCTTTCTTTTGAACCCAACCCCAATACCTCCTGGTCATAACCAGCATCAATTAGTACCCATGCTGATGGCTAAATTCGAGAAATCCTTCCCGGAGGACGTCGGCCTTATCGAAAAGTATATCCTTTCATCATACAATAGTTCAAGTAACGAGTACTCCCAACTAGTCGAGGAACTGAGAGTAATTCGCACGGTAGACTCGACTCCGAGGCAAGTACGGACTCGCAACAAATCTAATAGAACGGATCGGGTAAAATTCAAGATTGGGCAAGTATTTCGCCACCAAAGATACGGTTATACAGGAGCGATAATTGGCTGGGATGTTGGATGTCACATGGGCTCCAATTGGATAGCGCAGCACCAGATCGATTCTTACCCAGGAGGTAGGAACCAAAGCTTCTATCATGTACTGTAAGTAGCCCTAGGATGTGCCGTGAAGAGTGGAAGCGCTTACGAATTCAACAGCGTAGAAGATGCTAGCTTACGTTATGTGGCTGAGGACAACATAGAGATTGTTGCTCAGCCGGACTTGACGTCGTTGATGATAGTGGCGGGACAATACTTCAAGCGATATGATCAGGAAAAATGTCAGTTTATTGCGAATTTCAGGAACGAATATCCTGATGACTAGGGTTGGTATGTACATATATTACTACAGTTGAATTTTCGGTAAGATTGAACAGCCAACAGGTTCTAATACTCAATTTATACCGCTTGAACTTCGTCTATGATCTCTTTTAGAATTCCCTTATCAGCTAGGCCTTTTAATGTACGATAGACTATTGGTGTATGGTCTTTCTTCCGTCTCGCTGCCTGCTCATTCTCGTCGTTAATCAATGCCAATTCCTCTCTATATGCGATGCGTAGTGCCTTTTGGTCGGAAACCCACTGCTGCTGTAGGCGAAGAAGGGCGCTTGCATTAGTACTCTCTCGCTCGAGTATATTGCATGTGCTCTCTGGAAGTGCTGTATCGTGAAGTAGTTTGTCTGTAACACCAAATTCCTCCGAGGGCCCTCTCATCAGTCCGGAATCATCAACCTGATTGAAGTCGTTCCAATCAGACATCTGTTGTGCCAGCAAAGCTTCAACACGCTTTATGGCGTGTATATTTTGGGCGAGTTCTAGTGGAATTATCCGAAGAGGACTTCTACACAAAGACAAAAGATTAAACTGCAAATCATCGCCGTACTTGACAATCTGCTCGTAGATACTGGCACGAGCTACGGAAATCCAGTCATCGTTACACGGCCCTTTAAATTGTCAGTATTATTCGATCGATTGCTTTTTTCACCTACCTAAAGTGACTGGTTGACGTTGCAAGCCATCGAGTCTCCACACAACGCCCTCTACTGGAACGAATGCAATAAAATGAAAACCTGACTCCACGTCTGACCTGGACTTGCCTCTCCCAGATTTCTTTTTCGTTTTCCTCTTTTTCTTCCAAGCTGAAACCTCATTTGAAAGACCTAAGTCTGCATTCAAAATGTCTATTCTTCGAGCAAACGAATTATGAATGTTGCGGATAAACTCGTTCTGACTAAGTTCCTGACCTCGGTATGCTGGTTTTAGAAATTGAGTATCTTCCTTGAAACCACGAATGCCGTCCCCTAGATCAAGATTCGGGACGTTCATAACAATGTTCAGAAGGGCAATAGTAGCACAGGCGTTATGTGTAGTCTACATTCTGTTAGTCAATTTCTCATCAAGGTCTTGGGTTTGCCTAACTTGATTGGCAAACCAAATGTGGTTCGGACATTTTAGAGGTGTCTCTTCATCCTCCGAGTCATCCTCTATATATTTGAATAGGAAGACCAATCCATACACTGGTTTCCTTGTATAATGTCAATTTGAGTTTCAGGTATTGGCGGAAGCGGATATTTTCATACCGTAGATACTGTAGCATCTCGTCCTCCAGGCCAAGAACCTCCTGGATTTTGACATCCTTGACACCATACTCTCGTAATATGTAGTTAAAAAGTGCCTAGCAAACAACATATGTCAACTTAAAGAATCCCACGACCCGAAAAGCAACTTACTGGATCACTCTCTAATTCACACCATCCCTTCCAAGACTTACGTTCGTCATCCGTTAAGGGCTTTAATGCATCATCGAGAATCTCAGAATCTGATCTCTTGATGTTTTGGCCAACACGTCCGAGGCGACTTGTCGCAAGACCCATTGATTCACTTTGTATCTTTTGTGTTCCCGTGCCATTCCCACATCTATCCGTAGAGTCTCCACTTGGAGACTTGGACCTCTTTTGATTCCTCGAGGAGCGTCTTCTAGGGCCAACATCAGGAGCAGTAGATTGTATTGAGCAGTCCTCTGATGCCGGAGAGCCTTGCATCATTTGCTTGCTCTAATTGCGCAACCTTGAGACGGCAAAGTGATCGAAGAGATGACCAAACTTTGAGCCTCAGAGTGAAGTGCTGAATTTTTGTAATGCAGAAAATTGAAGGGAGGAAGGAGTGGGTTGAAAGTATCGGGATACCAAATTATGGGGCCCAAGATGATCAGTACCTAGTGATGTACAAGTACCAAGTGGGTGAAGAAAGGTACCTAGATAGGTCGATAAATATAAGGTAGATGGACAAATTTGTGTTGTGTATCATGACCTGGGTAGTACTTGATCTGGGTAAGTAATCAGGTGTAAAAGATTACTAGGGACAAGCAGATAGTCAGGAAAGAAGGGATTTCTCTTCAGGTTATCAATGCTAGATTTTATAGAGAAGCCCTTTGAAACCTTTGAATTTCTCATGTGTGAATTGTTGATTGCATTTGCTCGGGTCAATTGACTTTATGTTCTTTGCAATTCCAATAATGTTGAGAGAGGTAGATTGACATAGGTATATGTAGATAGACGTTCTGGATGCTACAAGAAGAACACATGTACACCTACACCCAAGCTGGCATGGGCTTGGAGGAGGATACTAGAACCGTATGGACGGCAATCATGGACAAAATACTAGGTAAATCGGACACTAGAGAAATACCTAGAGCTAGACAGTTATTGGTAAATACCTGCCTACTCTTTTCGGAGTTTCACATGATATCAATCAATTATTATTATTTTGAATTGGAAGTATTTACCATATTCAATTTCTACCCAAACCAATATCACAAGATACATATCAGATCTACTCGTCTCGTACCTGAGGTCAACTTACCATTACCATGAAAGTGGTCAAAGCTTTGGAAATGCTGGCGCTGGAAACAACAAAAATTCACAAAATTCAAAAAACGCGTCCCACAAGGAACTTCACTCGCGACTTAGGCAAATTCTGTGCTTTGAGAGGAAACTTGGGATCTTCATCTTTCGAATGTACGGTACCTATTCCTTTACACAAATAACTACAATAATCTAGCTCTTTCGGCTTCATCTCCCTCTTTATCTTCTTCTTCTTCTCTTGTTAACTTTCGCGAATAGCTTGCCCACTCACCAATACAGCTTATTGTTTGACACGATTTCAACGAACAAACCTCCCCTCTCAACTTTGGCCTTCAACGACTTTCGTCAAGATATAGAGAATGCAATGATTATAAAGCTTCTATACAATGAATGGGACTCCTAGAATGCGTTCTGGCTTTCCGCCTACTCCTGGCAGTGGCCAAAGGAATCCGACAGGACGAGTAACATCCCCACTGCGGGATCTTCCAACGGCTTCGCCTGCTGCGATAGAATCCGATGCGCCATTGATACCGGTAGAGCTCATTGATGCTCCTAGCCAGCGCATGTATGTTACGGGATTGTATGGCTTGCTACTTGTATGGCGTTTATATGATTGGTGGCAGTTGGTAGAGGATGAATCAGAGTCTTTCCCATTATTCATGAAATGGGTAATGCTGGACGCACTCTTTTTATATTGGGTACCAAAACTACGAATACCGTGGTTGGAGTGGTCACAATGGACATCTCATGTAGCTTTTGGGCTACATGCTATTTTTGATTTCGTGCTGATGTTCAGAATTGGCGTAAGTGGTCCCTGATTCTGTTTTGGTGACGATAAAGCTAAATTGCAAAGCTTCCACTCCAAGGATGGGTTTTACTTCTTACGAAGACCTTTTTCGACAGCGAACTCGCCATTTCAGAGAACAGTGTTCGGCCTGCCACCATTTTACACAACTCATCTTTGATTATGGGTAGGCAAATTATCAACATATTGCCAGAGGGGTACGTCTTGACCAAGGTCATATACTTTACAACTTGCTCTATAATACTAATATATAACAGATCCGCGACATTGAATCCGGATGGTCTTCCATTCTGTTTAGACAGTAGTCGACCTTCTGTCAAGCTCCCGATGTATTTTAACCAGACCAAACCTGTACACATTGAATTATTGCGCTTCGACTTCGATACAAATGCAAACGAAACGATAGAGCTGAAGAAAAGAGACTTGAAGAACTTTCGAAAGCTGGGTGATGAACCAAACGTTTATACGCTTGACTACATTGTGAAGAAACCGGGATTATACAGGCTTCACAAGATTATAGATCAGTCGAAGCTCGAAGTACAGCGGAGAATGTCTGATACGCTTGTTGTAAAATGCCCCAAAGCCATCATCAGGTCCACAAGCTCGGACAAGTGTCTGGGAGATCTTTCCGACCTCTCTATCGAGCTTGAGGGAACAGCCCCGTTGAAGATTGTGTATGGACGTACCATCAACGACAAAGATCGCAGTTTCCACTTCCAGAGTAATCAACCGGAGAACTTCGTCTCGCCGCTCCTGGGTTCGACTAGGCCCAGCACGTTGCTTACCCTAGGAAACCAGGATGTTTCATGGGGACAAGCTAGAAAGGTTGTCATTCCATTGAATGAATCTATGACCCCCAGCGGTTTGTGGTTATACTCGATCAATGAGATTCACGACGCTACTGGAAATGTCGCAAATTTCACGCTTATTGGTGAAGACGGAGAGCTCATCTATCCCAAGAACACACACATGGAACAGAGTCTTACAGTCCATGAGAGGCCCCTTGCAAGGCTCTCAGGCTGTGATTCTAGGAGTCCACTTATGGTTGCTATCGGCCAATCCACACAACTTCCGGTAAAATATGCATCGCCTGGCCGAACACCAGACGACACTTCTCATACTCTGACATACAAGTTCTCTCCCCTTGACACCCTGACCGCCGCGGGTGATCATGGCAGCGAGGTGATTTTTGAGGAATACTCTGCCCGCAATGCCCACCAATCGCCAAATATCCGCGAACCAGGTCTTTACACCCTGGTGGGTGTTAAGAGCAAATTCTGTGAAGGTGAAGTCAGGGAGCCTGCTTCTTGCTTACTGCTGAACCCACCCGAGCCGCAGCTGTCTATAAGCGCCGAGAATATTAACGACAAGTGTGCTGGCAATTCCATTGGCTTACTTGTTGACCTTGATCTAATAGGCACTCCACCGTTCGTTGTAAGGTACAACATAATTACAAAGAGTGGTCTCAAGCATGAATCAGTGAAAGTATCTGGATTACGACACCAACTGGAGCTTAAGCCTCGCGATGCAGGTCATTTCAAGTATCAGTTTACCTCCGTGGATGATGCTGTTTACAAGAACCACAAATTGAATAGCAATGATTTAGTTCTGGAACAAGATGTGAAGCCACCGGCTTCAGCCTATCTTAGACGGCCTGCAGGTGATATTGACGCATGCATCGAAGAGCCTGTGGAGATGAATGTTGAGCTCTCTGGCGAACCACCTTTTACCTTGGAATACGAGATTGTTCATGACGGAAGACGTCGAAAGCAAAAGGTCACTGGAATCGAAAGCGACATCTACAAGATAAAGACGGATCCTTTGATTACTGGTGGAGAATATTCTCTCGCTCTTGCAAGCGTCCAGGACAAGACAGGCTGCAAGATATTCCTAAACGGCGAGGTCAAATTTATGGTGAGGCACCAAAGACCTCGAGTTGCTTTTGGTCACTTGGATGGCAAGCATAAGATTATGACCATCGAGGGCACCAACATTCCGCTACCTCTTCGCTTGACTGGTCAGCCTCCTTGGAGCATCAAATACCGAAATGTAAATGATGATTCTGGTAAGATTTTGGAGAAGACTGCTATGTCAACCAATGATGCGGTTAAGGTGGATGCTCGTGGTACATACGAATTACTTGATGTAAACGATAACCAGTGTCCCGGGACAGTCGATTCCAAGGCATCCTTATTTGAGGTTGATTGGCTTCCAAGACCGAAAATAAAGGTTGCTGATAATTCGGCTCTTGTGCTGGAGGGTCAGAAATATGTAAAGCATGAAGTATGCGAAGGTGATATAGATGCGGTCGAGGTCAATCTTATTGGTAAGTCAAGCTACTTGCTCAGGGTCATATCTGACTCGGCTAACAACTTACAGGTTCCCCCCCTTACCATGTCAAATATGAGATTCGTCATAAGCCAGAACATGGCTCTGCATCTATCAGTAACAAAGAGTTTGACGCAGGTCTTGGACTTTCAACTGTTTCCATGGACACAATCAAGCCTGGTCTTTATGAGTACAAATTCTCGGAGCTTTCCGACAACCTTTATGACCATGACTCGAAGAAGTTTTCGCCGCTCATCATTGAGCAAAAGGTTAACAGGAAGCCAGCTGCGAATTTCATTAAACCAGGACAGTCATATAAATATTGCAAGGAAGAGCTCGCCGGAGATGAGGTTATTCCTATTAAACTCGAAGGCATTCCTCCCTTCTACCTTGAGATCGACATTAAACATCAGAGTAGTGCAAGACCAGAAACTGTCAAAATTGCCAACATCGATTCCAACCATTATGATTTCCGGATACCTCACCGAGTGTTGTCGCTAGGCATCCATCAAGTCAGTGTACGGAAGATTCGCGACTCCAGAGGGTGTCAGCAAAAAACAGAACATGGTGCTCCTCACGTACAAGTGCAAGTTTACGATGTTCCTACTATTCATCCCTTGGAGTCCCGTACAGACTACTGTGTGGGAGAACGAATCGGGTACACATTATCGGGCACAGCGCCTTTTGAAATTTACTATACCTTTGAGAACGTACAAAGGAAAGCAAAATCACCAAACACTAGTTTCAGACGTATTGCCGAGAAGCCAGGCAACTTCACAATAACTGCTATATCGGATAAAGCCAGCGAATGTAAAGCAAAGACTGAGATCACAAAGATTATCCACCAAATGCCTAGCGTTAAGATCAGTAAAGGAAGGCAGGTGGAAGTTGATATTCACGAGGGTGGACAAGCTGAACTGCTATTCGAATTCTGGGGCGTACCACCTTTTGAGTTCACGTACACAAGAAGTACGAACGCGAAGAAGGGCCAGAAGTCTCATGTGCTGGAGACCAGACATGAGATTTCATATGAACACAGCAAGACGATCCAGTCTTCGCAGGAAGGTACTTATGAAGTAGTGGCCATTAAGGATCAGTTCTGCTCCTTCTCAACACAGAAAGCGGATGGAAAGAGTGGGCAGAAGTTGCTTCAATATTAAAATGGGGTGGACTTGATGATGCATAGCGCGGCGTTTGGGTAAATTGTATTTAATGGGAAATGTTGTAATGTCATGAATGGCAATAGATAGATCGGCTTAATAAGTTGAAGCTCCAGTATCCCAACTTTTGTCTTACTTCGAACTTTTCACGTGTACAAATTCTGACATACCATTGTCAGGATCGCTCTCTTTCCAATTCTTTTAAATAATCAACGTCAAACCTAAACTTCTTTCCCTTGTTCCAATCTAGCCCCCAGTTAATATTCCCGGCCTCCACTTTAACTGCCCTCAATGCTCTCAGTCCATCCAAGATCTCTTTTTTCTGTTCCAATGTGTAGGTCTGCGGGGGCTCTTGTCATCCAATCCTCAAAATTTGGATGTCAGCTCCTGCTAACCATTTCCTCAATTTCTTAATTCCTTTAGTTACTTCTATTAGTCTCGCCTCCGCTTCGAAGTCATCGGGTTTCTGTTTTCGTTTCTCGCTACCGAGCTGGACGGAAAGGGATAAATTCCGAATTGACGAGGTGAGGAATGAGGAGAGAACTAAATCGGAGCGTTGAGTTTTGTGTGTCCAGAGATTGTAGTCGACGGTTACAGAGATGGTTTGAAGGGAGTCGCCGTAAAATATTGGGAGCGCTTCGTGATATATTTGGCGATTCAGATGTAGAACGGCGACTTCGAAAGCGCGAGAAAGATAAATGTGGGATTGGAGTTGGCGAGGATGGGGGCCAAGGCGGTCATTGGAGGGAGGTGTCAGCAAATGACGGTAGATTAGTTGGCGGATTTCGACTGGCATACGTAGGAGTGGGGGAAGGATCTCGGGCAAAGGGATCTCATTCAAATCATCATGGATTTCCGCACCAGAGTCGACTCTTGGCATTGCATTGGAAAGTGATTGAGTGTATTGTTGCAGAGTAAGAAAGTGCGTACGGAGGTCAGATTTGCGGAGCGACCAAACAGCATCTTCTGAGATGGTGAGAACTCGTTCGATTGTAGGTGCCCGTTATGATATCTTTGCAGCAGCTATACTTGCCGCTGTGCAGATACGTTTAGTTTTCAAATCTTCGGAAGAGTGTGATTTGTGATTGTAGGTTCGCTTCAGCGGGACAGCTGGAGATGCCATTCTCAAATCGTGATCTGCGTCGGGATGATATGTTGTTATTGTCTTACCGAAGCACAAAGATTGGTTGGTATGCTCGAAAGGTTACATGGATAGATAGCTCGCTTACTGATTGAGATAAGATAAGTATCTCAGAGCACCGGCCCGAGCGGCGCCCTTGTTTTTAGTCTTGTGTCCCCGCCTTACCATAGGGCTGAATACATCATTGATCCACTTCATGAATATCGCATAGGTTTAGATATGATAAATTGGTCAACTTCCACAATTCCCGAAATGAAACAATCCTCTGATACTTCTCCGATCGACCCGTGTCCATCTTTCCTTACTATTCCTTCAAAGCCACAAGCTCCGATATCTTACACCTTCTTTCCACGTGCATCTTATTCGACCCTCTCAGAATCGAATGTCACGCTACACCACACCCTTGTTGTCTTTGTAAATGGACTTGGTCTTCCCGCTTCCTCATGGGAGTCATGTATATCAGTTCTTCGATCTCATGTCAAGGAAGCCCCACCACTCTTAACATTTGACCGTTATGGGCAGGGGTTGACTACTGCAAGAGATCCTCTAGATGATGGAAATGGTTATGGACATGATTTCATGGACGCTGCAAATGATCTTCACGAAATTATTCTAGTTGTCGCTAGTAAGGAACTTGGGCTTGAGAAAACTGATGCCGAAAATGGGAGACTGAGTGTGATATTCGTGGCTGCCTCAGTTGGAGTAAGTACTTTGTGACATTTTTTTCGCCCTGTCTACGATAATCGATGAGCCCTGCCTCTTTTCTTCAATCGTGTAACCTCAAAATAACATTCTGCCAGGTCCCCATAGCCCGTCTCTATGTACAATCCCATCCATTCATTTGCGCCGCGCTCATCGCACTTGACTCCAACATCGCCAATATAAATTTTAGCGATTTCCTCCCGGATCCTTTATCCCCCACCTTCGACCCCTCTACCGTACTCGCACCAGACTGCTCACTTTCCCGATATATTGAAGCACGCACGCGGTTGACAAATGTATTTGATTTATCAGTCCCAAACTCTGAATCCATGGATCGACGACCTGGTCCAAGATTACTCCCCTGTGACGATAAACCTAAACTTATTGGTACGAATGGAAAAGGTCCGTGGCTTACGGTTGTAGGGCACGATCCGGTTACGTTTGCGGACGCGAGTTTAAAAAGAATGGGAACACCCAAGAGCATGAGTATGAGGTTTACGAATCCGTAAGTTTGTATCGTTGCAGTGCTCTTGGCGGGAATGTTTGACTAATCAGCGCTGTGAAGACATTGGGCCCAATATAATGCCGGTCTAGTGAGTATCACAGATGAAGATCGATGTGAGGGTGTGAAGATTGCCAGTGGCTGTGGTCACTTTATACAAACTGATGATCCAGATCTCGTCGCTGAAGAAATTAAGGCTATTCTCAAGAAACTGGGCTTAGCATGAGTGAGTATTTAAATTGGAGTTAAATGAATGAACAAGACTGGCTACTACGCGAGATGTCTGACCGCCGAGCTGCTGTTTTTCGCCTGCCATTTGTACTCGTGCATCAATGCTAATCCAAATGTAATCATTCCTTTCTAGTCTCATACCACCAAGTTATGCAAAATTGCCAATTTTCCAAGACCAATTGGGGAAAATGAGAAATAAAAAGCATAGCACATGATACTGGACACATCTGCTCTCATACAGTGGAAGCATGTAGCTTAACTTTAACACCGTTGGCGGAGGAATTTGTGAGTTTGAGTTCATGTTTCACAACTGAGTCCGTTGCCATATCTCGAATTATATCAAACCTCTGAAGAAGTCTTACAACAACGTAACCGGCTTCATTCAAGGCAAATTGCTGCCCGATACAAATCCTTGCACCACCATTAAACTCTTCAACGTCAGTAAGAAGCCTCGGACGGGAAAAGAGCTGAACCCAAACTTACAGGTAAAAATTCCCATCCCACTTTCTTTCCTTCCCATCTCTCAGGTCGAAACTCCTCGGCGTCATCACCCCATATATCCTTTCTACGATGCATGGCGAAAACACTGTATTCAACTATTGACCATTTTGGAATAAAGACTTTCGATTTTCCATCCTTTCCACCGCCATGTGGTAGGGTTGTGTCCTTGTTTGCTTGTCTGACGTTAAATGGTACAAGTGGATAAAGTCGCAAAGCTTCATTCAAACAATGTTGGAGATATCGGCAATTTTTGAGGTCCAAGAAGTTTATTTCCAAAGGATTTTCGTATGTTCCAAAGTTTTCGATGACGATATTACGCAGCTTTTGATACTGATTGGGATTTTGAGCGAATAAAAGAAACAACCATCCTAGTAATGAGGCCGTCGTGTCTCTACCTGCTAGCATCAAATGTAAGCACTGAGAACGAAGCTCAATTGGATCTTGTGTTTCTTTTGCAAGGGCGTCCAGGTAAATGTATCTCTTCTTGATTGCGGTTGAATCATCTTTGTCTTGATCTCTGGCCAGTGAGTTTCTGTTGAGAGCAAGTTGAACAAAATGATCGACATATTCGTTGCATTTGTTGCAAGAATTCCTGAAGTCTTTGCTGGAGACCAGCCAGTACATATCAGCAAAATGGCCACGGGTAGAAAGCCAAGATAAAGCGTTGTCAAACTCAGCCGCAAAATCTATTCTGGTACCCTGGGCTTTTGTTTGATTTTCTGGCAGATCGAGAAGCTGGGTATCAGCAGACCTAAAACCGTTGTTAGCTTAGTTATCATTGTACAGCATCAAAGATTATTGCAATACCGCCCCCGGAATATTTGGGGGAGAGTGCAACGTAAGTGTGGTAAAGATTCTACTCACTGTCCAAGTAGAATTTCTGTTGCAGAGTCCATGGTCAATCGAAAGAAAAGAACCTGTAGATCTATCTCTGCGGTCCAGTCACCCTGAAGTCTGGTATCTATAGCTCTCATCAAATTCTGAACATGCTTCTCCTCCACCTCGAAATCACTCATCTGATCCCGATTGAACTGGGGTCTCATCATATCCCTTGTTACTTTCCATTCGTGGCCATCTTGTGTAAATATGCCCTTCCCAAGCATAGGCCAGAAGGCCCCTATCCGCATTGACCCTAGATCGAAGTCGTCAAATTGTGTCGCTAAAATAGCTTTTAGATTCTTCGGATCTACTGTAAAAAGACTCGAAGTATTCATGATCGAATACTTGAATGTTATGCCATATTGTTGGACATTTCTTTGAAGGAGGAGTGGGAAGAATTTGCCACGATCGGCCTCCAGAGCTATCTTGAGCATATCAAGACCGAAAGGCCAACGGCTGATAGTGTCTTTCGGTACTGGCTCTTGACACTCGAATTTGCGCAGTTTGGAAGAATATATGTGTGATTTGTATATCCTGTTCACAATGAAATAGAAGAAGAGGGAAAAAGCTACCCAAATACTTGTAGGAGCCATATCTCCAATGTGCAGCAAAGAAAGGCACAGTTTCGAATAAATTATACAACGTGTTCCTCCAATACTTGAGAAGAAGTGGCAAACACTGGAATGTGAATGATAACGAACGAAGCAAATATGATCACATTGGTGATCGAGTAGCTAAGTCAACATCGCGTCCAAGTCCCAACAGTTGGCGGCGTACACACACTATATTAGGTCCGCCAACGGAAAATACCGAGGGTCCCGAGGTTTTTTCTAATAAAGTCTTATTGATCGGATAGCCAATGTGCAATAGTATTCACTGCAAATGTAGTCTCATACGGAGCACACCCACTACCTACTTTGCACAGAATCTAGATGTGACCCTATCACATCGTCATAACCCATATTTTGTAAGCCACTTTGTCAATCCACCAATCATAAATTCTAGAACAATTGATTCCTGATAACTTAAAGTTCATTGGTTGTTGAAATTCCCATATCGCGAATTGGACACGAAAATTCGCCATTCTATCTAGAGAGGTAGTGAGCAAAAGACAAAAAGACGCGCTCTCAAGGATTTCCTTCCCTTCTTCTCCACTCCTTTCCCTTTCCCTATCCCTATCCCACACGACCCCGCTACTTACATCTCGCCGTCTCTTCCCATCATATATTTTCTTACCGCCATAACATAGAATACAATAAAACTAACCAAACTTATCACATCTTTCATATCCCTACCAGGGATTTACTTCCAGGATATTAGCTTCCCACCAAAACACCAAACTTCTGCTCGTACCACATGCAGAAAGAACATTATAAGAGCCGTCAAATTCATATACAAAGTAACATAATCGTGAGAATAGGAGTTGATGCTCGTAAACATCAATGTGAATCGTAAACGTAAAATAAGCATAAATCAGGGTAGAAGATCACCACCCAATTGCATGCCAAGTCCGGTATGCTTAGAAGCAGGACTGTCACGCCTTGATGGGCTTGCATTTTGTGGATGGAAGTTCTCAAAAGTCAAGCGCCTACGTGCAACAGTCAATGGGGTCTTTGCAGCTCTTGGGGTCCAAGTCGTTTGAGCTGGACTCGGTGTTATGTTGACAAAATCGGCAAAGTCGAATCCTTGTGAAGGTGTGGCCGGCGCACCAAATATCGAAAGACCACCGCTATAACTAGGAGTGGTCATCATAGATGATGGCAAATCAAGCTTCCTGGACGGTGGTGTAGATGGTGGCTGCATCATGCTCGTTCGCGAAATTGGATTTGCGGGGCTACTGAGGTACAGTAAAAGATCCGCTTCTTCTTCTGCTGACCTGCCATTACCTTCTTTGATTCGACGGTGTGGGTTGCCTCTGTTCCTAATGGGAGACGGGGTTCGCGGAGACGAAGGTCGGATATTAAAAGAGTGTAGAGGCAGGTGGCTGTCTTCATCGTCAGATGGGGCTGCGAAGTTGGGGGAGGTAAGGTCATCTGGCATATGTGAAGATCCCCGGTAGAACGAGAGATCCGGTCCCGCCGAGGTGGTGAAGTGAGGCTTGCGTGGCTTGATAGGAGACGACTGGGCTAGTTGACGGTGACTTTTCCAGGAGCTATTTGGTTGACGTAATAATCTACTTGGTGTGGGGGAAGAGCGAACTCTTTTTCGAGATCCAGCTGTTGAGCTTGGTTGTTGGAAAGTAGTGTGGTACGACCTCTTCCTAGGCCCAGTGCTGCTACCACTCGATACAATTCGATCGGAAAATATGGCGGTGGCTTTCAAAGGGGAACTCAGTAAGGTTCTTCGGTTCGAGTAAGGTAGTTCAGACGCTACACTGGAGGATGAGTCCGATAACATATCTCCACTTGAGGTTGGCCGTCTTCTTCTTAGTTCTTCTTCCATCCTTGGTTCTATTGTATCCAGTGTAAGATCTTCCCAACCCCTTTCGGCTTTGAATTGTGCGAGCGCCAATCGATTCTGCAGTTTCCGAGCCATCTAGATGATTTGATATTAGTATAGTGTTGGGGCAATGGACTTGATTCGAATAACACAAGAAGGTGTCTACCTTGCTCAACTCAGCTCTTTTCAATACCGCTCCCGCTACCTCCTCTGGCTGCTTCTTCCATGGGGAAGACATATTAATCAATATCTAGTATGCCGATAATATTGATCTGCTTGTTGATGAGGCTGCGAAAGAAGTATATACCAGAGGCAAATATTATGGACAGTGTTAAAGGTAGAAGTGTAAGGTCGGCGCCAAAGGTCGAAATTAGCCTTAGCTTCTTCCACCTGTTTTTTTTTTCTTGGACGAGTTTTCCGTTGCGGGTCAACAGCAATATAAATGAATGATTGTACAGAAGTTTTTATAAAATTATCTCCCCCCCAAATTCGGAATTATGGTATAGTTTTTCCAAAAAGTGAATTAATTGTATGATGATTGAATGGTACGGGTTGAGGATGAAGAGGTCAGAATTCCGTTGCTCATTCCTGGGACTGCTACCATCGCTTACAAGGGGAAGTGATCAGACTGAGCTGAGCTGCTAAGGGGCTATTGGTCTAGCGGTCTAGCGGTAATTTTTTAGGTCTTCAGGTTCTGTAATGTGCTCAAGACAAACGAATTATAGGGCTCGGGGACATTGAAAGCTTCTCGAGAGCCTCTGGGTAAAAGGAAGAAAGAAAGCAACAGAGAGAGAGAGGAAGACATATTGCAGTTAGAAAAAAGGAAATTGGACTTTTCAGCATTGACCAATGATAGATGGTGTTTTGAGAGTAAGACTCGAATTCTAGATATCAAACAGTCTGTTGAATTGTATCAGAATCCGATTGGGTTCAGATTAATGAAGTTTAGGCCGGAGTAGATTGTCCATATATGAGATGCGACACTTACCTATTACATCTCGAATTGTGTTATATAATAAGACTATCTGTCGTAGTTTATTGAATCATTGTATGGAGGGCGCGTCTAGAAGGTACGTACAGAGGATGGTATGATATAGCTGTACTCACTCCACGAGAATCATGCATTATTAGACCATCTCGCACGTTGCTACGAGTCTACCTCCCTACCTACCTATGTACCTACAATATACTGTACGGAATGTGTAGCTACTACTTGCTGGAGCGAGTAGTAGCTACACACAGTCTTGTTTGTTTTTCGAGCCCACGAGCCCACCAGGCCCCCCAAATATGAGCGTCTTCTCTTCCTTTAGCTATCCATACTCACCAGTAGCTAGACAGTAGCGAGGATAGCGAGGAAGAAGTCTTTTCTTCCTTTAGTCCGTACCTGTGCCATTACAACGTCATCTTTTACCATGTCCCCTCTGCAGTCTGAAGTCTGAAGTCTGAAGTCTGGAGTCTGGAGTCTGGAATGCGCAGTCAACATGGCAGATATGTTGTGTAGGAATTAATTGGCCGCAGCACATAAGACAGCATGCTAGGTAGGTACAGTTGAATCATGATTCTCATATGATTGCAGCAGTGTAGGTAGATGGAGTGAATTGGGTTACACCACTGCTAAAATCTCCCTGTGTCAAAGAGATGCTTTCGGAACATCAATGGAAGGTATTGACGATCATTCATCAAACATGTGTCTCTTGTTGAACTGTATTTCGCTGGCTGGTTGGATAATCATGACATGTTATGTCATGTCATGTATTGTTGGATTGTTGGATTGTTGTATTGTGTTGTAACGGGTAATACATATTGGCTGCAGTATCAGTTGAAATGCAGCCCCCATTGCAGCCCCCATTGCAGCCCCCATTGCAGCAGCATTTGGAATGATCCAAAAAAAGAATCTTGAAATGACTGGTTTCATCCATTGGCTTACGCTACGATGCGATACGATACGACGCACGATGCACTGTCTGTGTGATCATAGTCCTCTTTTTCTGTTCCGTTCAACATAAAGTGGATGGATGGATTATGGATAATATAGGTAGCTCATGGATGTCATTAGTTGCAAGGGCCCCCGGCAATAAATGCTACTAGGGAGGTAGGAACTATAGATGTCCTTGAAAGTATGCTCCCCGCCAAACTTGTTGCCGTTGCCGTCTTGTCTTGTCTAAAAGTTCCAAGGTTGTCTTTCAAGTTTCAATGTTTTCGATTCTCCAGCGTAGTACGGAGTTGCTAGGTAGGATGTGATATGTAGATGGATGGTTAGTTTTTATCATGATGTTACTGTATTCATATTCATATTCATGTTTGTGTTGGTATTTATATTTACAAATAGGTGGTGGTTATATATATGCCTACCTAGGTATATAATGGCATTTCTTATCTGCCACTTACTTTTGTACTATCACGTACCACCTGCATCGACTAAACTACTACCAGGAACTTATCTTATTACTTACCTAGTAATCAACTTCATCTCCAACCGTTCCACTCATCTACCACTTACCTACGTCCCTCACTACTTCGTACGTATTTTATAATGAATTGAAGATCATCTACCTAATTACCTATTTTCTCTTCCAATTTCAACTCAATTGAACAATATCTACCTACCAAGCTAATCCAATCCCCTCTTACAATCTACACGTAATAATAATAATAATGATAAAATAATCGAATATTCTCAAAGAATCCTCCTTAATATCATTTCCGAGGTCATCCATCACTACACTCCTTCTCTCTTTTGATACGAGCGCTCAGTTATGCTGGATTGACTGGAAAACGTTAAATCCATTAATATATTTAAAAACATTCACAACCACCATTCACACCTTCGTTTTGCCTTTCTGAAAAAGGATCTGCCTTCTTTGATTCCCCATTGATTAAATATCCCTGGAGAACCTCTTTCCTCTTAGCCCCCCATCAGGACCATCAAGCAAGAAGCTTCATCATTTTAGTCCCAAAATTAGCACTCCTCTTTCTCAACTACTGCCAGTCGAGGGGAGCACTCCCTTGAACAAAACACCACCAAAGGTCTGCCATCATCTCCGCTGTCATCAATCCCGAAGGATTGTTTCAATGTCCTCTTCGCTTTGATCTCAAAACATCGCAAGCTAACTCATCGGGCGACCTTGTCTTCAGCTACACTCCTTGCTCTAGCTATATCATGGCCCCTTCCTTTTTGAAGGACTTTAAGAGGCGCTCCAAGTCCGGCGCAAAAACAACCGACTCCAGCACAGGTGAATCTACTGGTAGTAATGCGAGTGGTGGGAGCGCTCCTCGAAGCAACACATTCACTTCGAGTAAATCGCAAATATCCTTGAATTCTTCTTATGGCGCTACAACCCCACCAACAATGACAAATTCACAGTCCTCATCGAACCTCAACGGTATGGGAGCAACTCGACCAACCGTTTCTACCACTGGATCAAATAGACATAGTGTATCTGGGATGTCGGGCGTAGGATCCCCTTCTTCAAAGTCGGCTTTGCCCGTCTCGCCATATTCGCCGCGAATTCTATCTATCACTGATAACACATGGGTAAGCTTTCCTATCCAAGCTCCAGGATTGGTGAAGCTAACATACATCAAACAGGTATATCAAAAGGTCTTATCGATATATGGCACGATATCTGATCCATCAGAAGTCCAAATAGATGGGACGCTCACAGTCACTCGTCTAGACGATGGATTTCCTCCGACATACTGGCCAGTCTCTGAGTCTCATTTTAAGGCACTTGTTTACCTTACCCCGGGACCTAATAGATTGAGATTCGATTTCACATCTCCAAAACTCGCGAATAGCAACTCTCCTAATCCTGTACACTCCTCTTTCCTCACTCTTCACATGCTACCTACTCTTACAAATCCTCCACTTCAATTGGTTATATTGCTTGGAAAAGATTCACCAGGCACATTCGATGCTGTTCCTTCGCGCATCGAGAGAGAAGGCAATGGCCTGGATACTGCTACACGAAAATTCAGAATGGCCGCTTATCTGTACGTATAATTTCTCATCTGTATAAATCTCTACTATCCTAGTGGTGAGTAGGCAAGTTGTCATTGCTAGAATTGGCAATGAGCATCTTCCTGTGGAATCAGTGGCTCCGGGGACGAACTTTTTTGAAGGCGGAAAGAGGGCGACATCACATCCTATCAGTTTGATTCTTGTTTTTCTATCAGTCTCAACATCTATCTTCTCTACCTAAAGAGAACGAGCTAACGGTCAGCAGGTGGCAAGCATTCACCGCTGAGCAGATGTACCGAAATAAGCTTGGCAGGAGGACATTTAGATTCGAAGAAGAGTGGATTACGGGCACCTCGAACTATAGAGACCGGGAAGCTGGGACAATGCGAAGTGAAGCCAAAATCCATGTCATTCGAAGCTCTAAGACTGTTGCCGAACTTCGGCATCTTGATGTCGCCCAGCAGAATGAAAATGGTGCCCGCCGAGGCGATCTATTTTCCTTTGCCAGTGAAGATGTCAAAAATTATTTTAAGCCCCAGCCAGGTCAGAAACAGTATGTGACAGTTCTTCTCCTAGACGCTCATTGGGAGAAACAGCAAAATATGATCACTGGTCATGCGGCCCTCGGAGGTGGAGGCGGCGAGCTTCAACTAGCCATTTTTGGAAGTCAGGCATTACAAAGTTATCCATCTACCCTCGAAGAAGTTGTGCCAGCATTCTCCGATTGTACAATCACCGATACTAATTTTGTAGCCAATGACTGTAATGAATCCGGCAGCAACTGGGAGGCTGCCAATATTGGAATAGGTGCACACTTACATGAAGTAGGCCATTTGTTTGGATGCCCCCATCAAGAGCACGGGGTAATGCTTCGGGACTACGTCACGTTGAACCGATCATTCACCACCAGAGAGCCTTATTCAACACGCACCAGATCGAAGGGAGGGCTGGTTTTACCAAGAGACGAATGCACATGGCATAGGCTAGACACTCTACGCTTTCGAAGTCACCCATCTTTCGCACTCCCTACAGATCCTCCGCGAGCTAACGATGACTCCATACAAGTATGGCCTGTGGATAATGGCAGTGTGATAATTACAGCGGCATCTGGTGTAGCTTTCCTCGAGATATTCACGGATGGCGAGGATCTTTGTCACAATTGGCAAGAGTTTGGAGATGGGAATGGCAATGGACCCATTCAACGACAAATTACTCTTACAGAGCAAGATCTAAGAAATCAACTACCAGAAGACCGCCGAAAATCGAAACTGAAGATATCCGTAAAGTCGTTCGCTGGTGGCAGCCATGATGTTGATGACTTTACCCAACTCGTCTCAAAAGCCAGTAAGCTAAAATTGAAGAATGGACAGATGGCTTTCAGGAGCAGTAAGCTGGGTGCATCACAGATGGACGGAACCCAGCCACAAGAAGTCGTCTTTGACAGTTCAATTCATCAAACGAAACTGATGATACAAGTGAGAGTGTAAGTTAAAAACTTGTTTCAACCCGGTTGGAAGGATCACATTGGGTCGTCCTTCTCAAATTCTTAAGAAACTCCACCTAAGTACGACCACTGACTTGCGTTTTAGCTGGGCGGGCTTCGCTCTCGACGGTATAGAGTTTATTTATGAAGATGCGACCTCACAACTTTTTGGCAAGAGGGGTGGATCTTCCGCAGATTTCAATCTTGGTATGTGACCAGAATTCCCAAAGTTTCCGCCTGAATTACTAATATCTTGTTAGATACACGTCGTGGAGAGTACATTACTGGATTCTACGTCAGAAGTGGGTTGTGGTTGGACGGAATTGCAATCATGACTAGTTTAGGCAGGAAGTCCCAGGTTTTTGGAAACCCTGCTGGTGGTTCTGGGTTAGTATATTCCCATCCTGCGCCGGTGCTATATCACATTAGTTGCTATGACTTACAATAGTTTATATTATTACATCCGGCTATTCGCATAAGATCTCGCTAACACTTCCAGGCATACTTTGATACCCCCGAGAGGATACACTATCGCAGGCGTTTCAGGATCATGTGCATCATGGATTGATGGGTTTGGTATCATTCTTACTCGGTAAAAACATGCAGGTAATCGCTGGGGAAGCGAATAGTACGCATTAATATTGTATAATTTGGTTTGGGAAGACGTGGTTGGAACGGTTCTACAGATTACCGTTTATCCTATGATATTTATTTTTCAGGGTGGTTAATAACAATACCTAGGTAAAAGCTTCAGTGCGAATGGCGTGACTTGGGCATATCTATAGAGGCGTTTTAGAATAAATGACAGATTTTCCAGTTTCTGACAGTCTTGACTGAAGTGATTGCGGAATATATCTGTGAAACACATCTGTGGAATATATCTGTGAGCTGTGCATGTTTTCCGAGTCCCACTCAAAGTTCTCGGCAAGAATGATTGTATCACCAAGTACATGATTGGTTACCCCCAAAAATATGTATGTAATACTGGAAATGACCAGTTCGAATTCGATCTTTGTCCTTGGGGTTAAAAGGCTGTTCAATCCATTCAGATTCCTTCCAAGGCAATAATAACAAGTGCTGTTGGTGTTTAAGGTTTGCTCAAGCCCTTGTTCAGCTGTGGCTTGGCGATCCCTCAACGTCATGGCTGGTAAAACCAAGCTCTTCAAACGAAAAGAAAACAAACCTAGAAAATCACTCTTCCCCAAAAAGGCTCAAAACCAACAACCTCACGATACCCTCACATCTTTGTTACACCTTGAATACTCAGTTTGAGTTAATATATCTCAGATGTCGAAAAGAAACAGCGGCAATGCCGCAAATGGCGCAACAAAGGATTCAACAACCGGTGGGCCAGGTATGTTTATGATTGCTCCTTTGATTACCCCTCCCCCTCTTGGGTCAATAGATGGATTTCATACTATTGTATAGTGTGCTAACGGATGCTCTAGCTATGGATAAACAAAAGAGGTTGTTAGAGAAAGATACGGGGCATTTCTCCATGATCAAGATGTTGCATCTTGCGGATTTGATTACCGAACTCAATGGTAATTCTGCTTTTCCAAAAGTCTCTCGCACAAATTGACTAACTGCTACAAATCAGGGTTCTGTGGTGTTATGTCTGTATTCGCCTCGATGCGATATTGTCTAGGTCCATCAGATGCGCACGGAAATCTCTGGGCGGCTTTAGCTTTTATGCCTTTTGGATTGTTCTTCGATTTCATGGATGGGAAGGTTGCCAGATGGAGAAAGAAGAGTAGTTTGATGGGTCAAGAATTGGATTCTTTGGCGGATTTGGTACAGTTCTTCCTGGCACTTTCATACGTGTCGGAAATTTGATTCTAACGATTTCTTCTATAGGTATCCTTTGGTGTTTCTCCTGCCGCTGCAGCTTTTGCTATCGGTATCCGCACTCCTCTCGACCACCTCTTCCTTACTTTCTTCGTCCTCTGCGGTCTCACCCGTCTAGCCCGTTTCAATATCACCGTAGCCAATGTTCCTAAGGATGCCACTGGGAAGAGTAAATATTTTGAGGGCACACCGATCCCTACTTCCCTTTCCATTGCCGCATTAATGGCATACTGGGTATCCAAGGGCTGGATCTTGGACAATATACCATTAGGGACGGTTGGCACTGGAACTATTTTTGAATTTCATCCAGTTGTGGGACTTTTTGTTCTTTGGGGCTGCATGATGACTAGTAAGACCATTCATATTCCTAAGCCATGATTAAAACATCATACTTGGGATCGAGTGTGGATTACGAAGTGGGGAACGTGGTGGGAAGAAGGGATGGCAATAGACATATCCGGCTTGGTGGTGAGGTGGAGATGAAGCATGTATTATGATACCTTGAAGTTTATGAACTGGCGCAAATATACCTATTAAATGCATTCCTCTTCTCAAGTTATGTTCAACGGCCATATGCAAGTGAAGAAGTCGTTGATTCGTTTCGCCATGAGACTGTAATATGGTTCTTACAGGGTTTCTCTCTCATACCCGATGGTTGAAACTTCAATCCGCCATCATTCGAATAAGGAACTCAACAACCAATAATACAGATAAACATTAAGTCATTTCTGCACAACATATCAACAGTGAACAAATTTTTCCAGCACCTGCAGTTTTCATCTTGTAATCAAATCGAGAAGTATTTAATTGCTGACTTCTATAAGATGGAGAGCGAGAAAGATTATATGCATTTTTGTGTTGGTAATCAACGAATTAGATAGGCACAAGAAATGTGTATAGGATCGAAGACCTGGCTAAATATTCGAGTTTCTCTTAGGGGACGTTCTTTGGATAAGAGGATTGTCTCTCTAAGAGTAGATGAAGGCCAAATATACAGAGAAGGTAATGTGACTGGAGGCTTTTCGATCCGTAATCTTTGGGCGGGTGATTGATCTCAATTTAGATCAGGTTCTCTTTGGTAAAGTATGTGTAATATGTTGCCCGAAGCTTCATGATTTTCCTATCGTCCACCGACTATTGACTAAGAAAGTACAATTTTTGCACAGAAGTTCGCAGCAGCCCAAGCCGTACCAACAAACATATCCCTAAACGCCATATACCCAGATTTGGTCTACTTCAGTTCTTTATCCTACCGTTTTTAACGTCCACCTCTGGAGAATCCTCCTCTCGATCCACCTCTCGCGCCACCTCGAGGAGTGAAACCACCACCTCCTCGAGAGAAACCACCACTACCACCACCTCTGGAGAATCCTCCGCTGCCACCTCTTGGTGTGAAACCACCTCTTCCTCCACGTGGCGCACCTCTTCCACCACCTCGTCCGCCTCTCATTGGTCCTCCTCTACCTCCTCTGGCACCACCGGCTCTCTTTGGTTTTGGTGCTCCTGGAGGTGGCTTTGGCTTTGGAAGGAATTTCTCCAAAGGAAGAAGTTTGTCGCCGCCGATGTAAAATTTGTCGCCAGTCTTGAATGAAGTAGCTTGGATACCTTCGGTTGGCTTGATGGTGAAGTAAACTTGGTTGATGGGGCCGAGAATCTCGTCGACTTTACCAATTGAGGTCTATCAATTGGTTGTTAGTCTATATTTTATAAAAGGGGTTTGAATTGAGAATTACATACCTTGTTCTCTAGGTAGATTGGCGCATTGAAGTAAGGAATTTTAGTATTGATGGATTCGCAGACAATTTCTCCTTCACTGGCATGGAGGAAAGATCCCATAGCTGTCTTTAATTAGCAATTGGCTCTAACAATGCGAACAGGAACTATCATACCAAATACATCTGCTGGAGGACCATTGTCTCTTTGCTGGAAACCACCGCGTCCTGGTGTAAATCGTTAGCAATTGCGCACAAATTGATCTGCTCAAATTCGCAAAAGAGTATTAACGTACCTCCACCACGACCACCGAATCCTCCTCTACCACCACTGAAACCAGCATTTGCGCCGGTACCGCGACCGCCTCTTGATCCGCCTCGGAAAGACATTGTTTGATGTTGGCGATTGTTCGAGGGTGTTTTGGCGTTATCGTTGGAGAGTACAAAAATTAAAGCTCTCCAAAAAATTATTCGAAGCGAAAACTGGGTAGCGTGGAGCCAAAGATGAGAACGATTTTCATTGGTCAGACATGACTTAGTCATCTGCAGAGTGCACGGTCCATGTGAGGAGGGACAAACGTTACAATAATTGGAGTCATAAAAATATTCAAAAGAGTTCACCGTCTAGTTGTACTTGACTCCTCCCAAGTACAGCAAACTTCGAATAACAACCTATCGAAACACCATGGAACAGGCAAAGGAGGCAGTTGAGAAGGTGGCAGAGGGTGTCAAAAATGTTGCCATTGGAGAGAAGAAACCGAAAGCACCCAAAGCACTAAAGCCTAAGAAGGAGAAGGGAGGGGATAGTGGGGTCGATGCCGGACCTTTAGAACTCAACCCAGCGCCAGAATTTATCGCTCATCGCATAGCAGTTTTCGACAAGTTGAAGGCAAAATATGACGCGGAAATCGCTGCAAAACCAAGAGATCCCATCACCATTACTCTTGCGGACGGATCTGTTAAGGAGGGTATTGCTTGGGAGACCACACCCGCCCAAATCGCAGAGGGAATCTCGAAGAGTCTTCTCAAGCGCACCGTTGTTGCGAAATTGAATGGGGATTCTGAGCAACTATGGGATTTGGAGCGACCCTTAGAGAAGGATTGCACACTTGAGCTGCTCCCTTTCGAGAACGAAGAGGGCAGAAGAGTCTTCTGGCATTCTAGTGCTCATATCTTGGGCGAAGCCTCAGAAAGACGATTCGGTTGCAGTTTGTGTATCGGCCCCCCAATCGACAATGGTTTCTACTACGAGATGGGTTTGCCAAATCAAGGAACAGTCACTGACGCAGACTGGAAGCCCTTGGAGACATTGGTCGGTCAAATTGTCAAGGAGAAGCAAAAGTTCGAGCGACTGGTTCTTTCTAAGGATGATCTTCTGGAGATGTTCAAGGACAACAAGTACAAGCAACACATCATCAAGGACAAGATCGCTGATGGAACCAACACCACTGTTTATCGTAACGGACCTCTTATCGATTTATGTCGAGGTCCTCACGTCCCTAACACTGGCAGAATCGAGACATTTGCTATCATGAAGAACTCAGCATCTTACTTCCTCGGAAATAAGGAAAACGACTCTTTGCAAAGAATTTATGGTGTCTCATTCCCTGATAAGAAGCAAATGGCTGAGCACAAGAAATTTCTGGAAGAGGCTGCAAAGCGTGATCACCGAAAACTTGGTAAGGATCAAGAATTATTCTTCTTCCACGAAATGTCACCTGGATCTGCCATGTGGTTGCCACACGGTGCTCGTATCTATAACACAATCATGTCATTTTTGAGAGAGCAATACTGGACCCGTGGCTACGAAGAAGTTATTACGCCAAATATGTACAACTCCGAACTTTGGAAGACCTCCGGTCACTGGGCGTATTATAAGGATGACATGTTCACATTCCCTGTCGAGAAGGATACTTTTGCTTTAAAGCCCATGAACTGCCCTGGCCATTGCTTGATGTTTGGTCACCGCGAGCGCAGTCACAGAGAATTGCCTTGGAGAGTTGCAGATTTCGGTGTTCTTCATCGCAATGAAGCTTCGGGTGCGTTGACCGGTTTGACTAGAGTAAGAAGATTCCAACAAGACGACGCCCACATCTTCTGTAGGGAGGACCAGATCAAGGATGAAATCACTGGTTTGTTCGACTTTCTCAAGGCTATTTACGGTCTTTTGGGTTTCACCTTCAAGTTGAACCTCTCTACTCGCCCAGAAAAGTACTTGGGTAAACTCGAGACTTGGGATATGGCAGAGGAGAAACTCCGATCTGCTTTGGACGAATTTGCGGCAACTGATGGTGGAGTACCATGGGTACTTAACGAAGGCGACGGTGCTTTCTATGGCCCAAAGATTGATATCACTATTTGCGATGTCCTCAAGAGAGAATGGCAATGCGCTACAATCCAACTTGATTTCCAGTTACCTCAAAACTTTGGACTTGAATACAATACCGGTGATGTACCAACTAAGAAGGATGAAGACGCCGTCAAGGAGCCCATCGTCAAGCCAAAGAAGAATGCTGAACCAGAGGATCCAAATGCTCCACCAAAGGAAAGAGTGTACAAGCCACTTACCCCTGGATGTGCCAGACCAGTCATGATTCATCGAGCTATGGCAGGTAGTATCGAACGTTTCACTGCTATCTTGATTGAGCATTTCGCTGGTAAATGGCCTTTCTGGCTAAGTCCTCGACAAATCCTTGTTATCCCAGTCGGAGTTGGTTACTTTGAATATGCCAAGGAAGTGCAATCCATCTTCCACAAACAACAAATGTTCATTGATGTTGACCTCAGTGGCAACACTCTTCAAAAGAAGATCCGTACAGGTCAATTGGCACAATACAACTTTATTTTTGGTAAGTGGTCACATATGCCTTTTGTCATAGATTAATACTAATACCCTTGACAGTTGTCGGCGACACAGAAATGAAGGGTCGTGAAGTCAATGTTAGAAATCGTGACGATACCTCGAGTCAAGATCGAGGAAAGCCTGTTTCATTGCAAGAAGCAATTGAGAAACTCACAGCACTTCGTGATGAGCGAAGGTCGGATAACCCTTTCCCAGGTGAAGCGAAGCCTGTCGAGGCAGCTGCGGCTCCTGTTGCGCCTGCTGCTTAAAAATGAGATGTTGGAGGAAGGAATTTTAGGAGCATGATAAGATGAGAAGATAGGTACGAAGATGATGAAATAAGGATTTGTTAAATACGAGCATGAGATATATGACCACTGCATAAGAAAGGGCGTGAGATGCAATGCGTTTTCCTTGCTGTTAGTATGCTAGATTTAGCGTCATATGAGGGATAAGGAGATGACAAGAATGAAAAGAGAATTACAATTTCATAATGGTTTCGTGGTTTGTAGTGCCGGTCCGTTACACAAAACGCAAGCTCATATTTATCATCCTACGTGGAGGGCAGGGAGCTAAGTTATTCACTTCAAGGTTACCAAGCTTTCGATTAGCGAATATTTCAAAATGCGGAAAGGGATAAAATCTTTTGGCTTGAACGTTAAGCTTGTTTGTTTGTATTGCCTGCCCATTTAAAATATTCAATCCACATGAACGTTTCAATTCATCTGCAAGCTCCAATCCAATTTGAATGCCCAACACCTTCTCAATTCCCGATCCACTTGAAAGTTCCGACCCTTTTGAAGGTCCAGATTCATCTGAAAATCTCAGCCCAACTAAAGATCTTAACCCATTCCCAACATCCACACTCCCAAGAGATTTCCGACCGTATATCGGCGCGAGGAAGGCTCAGTGCATAGCGACACTGATGACGAAGAGTCACGTTAAAGTTCGAACGTGATTATGACCGACCGCAGCAAGAGACCCACTCGTATATGAGCAGAAGAACAACTTCAAAAATGAATTTTCACCAAGAATCGCGAAGATCCTCGGCAAGTTAGTCTACAGGCGAGGCTTATGTCCTATTCGATCAGATTACACCCCAAAATGTCGGATTGGAGTTTCCCTCACGGTAGTTCCCATTACCAGGTTCTAGGAATGTGCCATTGAACTGGCAAGATTCAACGATAGATAGATCATCGGGAATCCCGTTAGGGTATCTCGCTCCAATCTGTGGACTGGTCAGAGCTGTGTCTTATGGAGAGACTATACGCGAGTAGAAGTATTGGATGAAAACCGCGTAGGTCAGTAGTCTAGCGAAGGCGCATGCTCGTGAAACATACCAGGTGGTCGGTCTATTGAAAGGTACATGGTTGTAAGATTCTGTTTATCCTTGGTGTTCTCGCTGTAAGACACACATATGAGAAGAATTATTGAATAATCCCTCATAGCTCGTTGTGTTTTTCTGGCTGAGGCACAAGGAACGAACGAATGTTTATCGAGAATCTCGAGGATGTCTCGAGGGTGGCGGAAGAGATACTGCGATGGGCAAGGGAGAAGGAATCTAGTTTAGGGAAAGCGTTTCCTGTTATTCGCTAGTATCTTTTCTGGCTATTACCTTGCTATCTGTAGGTATGCCGAACCAGCGAAATGAGGCATCGGGATGTTTCTTCCTGGTTTGAGGGCGGTGGTTGCGCGCGCAGCTTAGTCTGTATTGATAGGTTTGCTTGATGGACCTAGAGGGAAGGAGGAGTTGTATATACCGATAAAGGAGAATGATAGAAGAAAAAATAGAGATAGTACAGTAAATTATGAGATTAGATGGACAACCCAAAATCATGCTAACAGTTCCATGAAAAAATCTTACCACGAATGAAGTTCCGCATTGGATGAGATATTGAGATGTCGATTCTTAGCAGTTGCCTCTCTCTGCTTGTTCTGTATTTTGTCATCCGAATTGATTCTGTTGAACGAAATGAATCATCTTCAAAGGCAGGCTGGAATGTTCTGGAGTATAGATTGATTAAGAAGATCTCAATTCTTGAATCTGCCTGGGGACCTGGCTCTATCCGATCTTACCCAATCGAATGAAAGTACCACAGCATTTCAAACTCTGAAGACCTCACAACGTGACTCTTACTACAATTCATAAGATCAAACCCTAGAAAGAGGATTTGGCTTCATGTACATACCATACTGTCAACGAGGTTCTACTGAATTGACGAGAAATTGAGTGGACGAGCTCTTCCAGTACGTACAATGAGATGGACGAATGATCGATGTAACAACAGATTACTTGAAACATCGACCTCGACAACGGCAACTTTGCGCCCCAATTACAGACACCGCCAGTATCATTTTCAGAAACCATTGAACAGAAAAGTATTCCTTCTTCATCTGTCTGTGGTCTTGTAATACGGCTATGGCTACATACCTTCCTCAAGACCACTCGAATTATATCCACCCCGGCACCCTATGAGATTTCCCAACACTTTCACTTTTCTACCCATCAAGTAATCTTTCAACATTCTAGCAACTAACGTACTTTACTTTGTCGTCTGAAAATGCAACATGGGAGACGGATATAGATATTCATCCAAACCACGAACCACAAGAAAACTCCCAAAATCGTTCTCGTTTCCTTCCTTTCCCATCCCATCTCAACTCAGCTATTACCCCCCCCCCCACCCCCCTTTCTACCCTCTACCATGATTGCCCTCTCCTCCCCTCCCCTCATCCCCCAAATAAAACATCCACTCCCCAACCTTGTCACTATCTCCATCTTTGACAAAGTAAGAGAAAGTATCCCTCTTCCTCCCCTCTCCGTTCCCAAACTCTTCAATAACGAAGAGAGAAGGAACACATCATATAATAGAAAGGAGATCATACGATATTTTACTCACCAGTATGTTTGTGTATAGATTAGGGTCTAAGGATGACCGATGGGTGGAGAGTACAGTACTACATAAATTTTAAGTGTGAACGTAAACATTATGATCGAGGTATCTTGTTTCTTCCAGTCTTGACATGAAAGGATCTCTACCCCCAGATATTGCCTCACTAGCAATATTGGATTTCTTCCTGTTCCTCTCTTATTGGCAACATCTCTTTAAATATCCTACCCCTCCCCGCCCAGACGAAGTCACCATATCAAAATGAGTATGAACACAAACATGAACATAAAACTAATATTTTCATATTCAGGACATATCTACTCGGCAATACCTAGGTAGCCAATAGTAAATCCACAAAGGAGATCATTTCATCGCATTGCATTGCATTCAATCCCAAGTTCCTCAAGCAAAAGTATCGCGGAAATCTTATCGAGCCCATCCATCCATCCATACCTTCTCCACCATGCCAATTCCTCATTCCCAAGTCTTATAACCTAGTTTCCCTCCTCCTTAACCATCCAATCCCAACCATTCCATTCCATCCCCTTAACCGTAGAGTCCGCTAACGCACCCAATCCATACGCACAAAATACAGAATACTTCCAGATTTTTCTCTCCCTTGAGTTCTGTCCTACCAAAATAAAAATAAAAATGGGACCCACTTTAGACAGTTTCGTTACTCAAAGAACTTCCTGTTTCTGTTCTAGTCCTGGGGAATTCACCGGGGACATGCAATTGGCTGATACTCTGGACGCTTTGATGATTTTGCCCAGCAGCCAAAGTTGGACGTTCGAGATCCTTGGCGAGGGGATCGAGGAGTGCCTCCATTGACCTTGGCTCAGTAGTATCTGTGACAGTTGAGGTAGTTGGGACAGCCGTAGTAGCCGCTACTGTCGATATGGCCGCAGTCTCCCCTGCTTCATTGAACCAAGGGACCGCGCTAATATCGCCCTGGCTACGTCCTCCGGACATGTGTGTGTCAGGTGCAGAAATGGCCGTGGCTTCAATATCTGTTTGTTGCTGTGCCTTGTCGTCGTCATATATATGATCGTCGGGTGCTGCAATCATAGCTGCTTCCATATCCGCTTGTTCTCGGAGTCGGTCCGTGTCAGGGGCGGCTATCATCGTCGCTTCCATGTCTGCTTGCTCGCGTTGTTTCTGGAGCTGGTGATCGTGGTATGCGGCTGTGCCTGCTATGCCCAAAGCGGCGCCGCCTAAGCCTGCGGTAGCGGCAGTGGTAGGTAACTCATGTTTTTGACTATCACGCGTAGTGTTCATATTCTGAATGGGTTCGTAAGTATAAGGGTTCACACCATCTTCTTCAGCAGCTTGATTTATCATCTGTGCGTGTGTCGGCGACGCGTGGCCAGGGCTCTCTCCATAGTGATGGCCAACACCACTTGCGGGTAGAGCTGCAGCGGTAATCACTGCATCATCTGCTTCACCTCCAAAAATGGAACTTCCGCTAGAAGGCGAAAGAGGAGCCTGTAAGCCACGCGTCGCATTAATTTGTAGATCTGATGGAAATCTCCCACCTGGTTCAGGACGCTTTTGTTCTTGTTTGAGTCCTTGAGTGCCTACAATGGCTGATGTATGTGCCGAAAATGGTTCTTCGTCCTCCTCGTCCATAACACCGTCGCTGCTGATGGAACCAGCTCGTTGTGATGTACCACTAACGCTGCGGGCATGCTGACGCACAAACGCATTACGTTCTTGTGGAGACTTTTCCGTCAAAGTCTTGATGTCTTCGTACCAAGCGAGTAGAGTATCACGTGTTTCCGCTCTGAAAACCCAAGAGTGTCCGCGATGTAATGCTCCAGTTTGACGACCTTTGAGTATGAATTTGTTTGAGGATCCTCCCTCATTCGAGTGAGAGCCGAGCTTTTGCTCGGGGAGATAGAGAGACATGATTGGCGCTCCGATTTTATCCGCAGAGCGAAACTCATGCAAGTGAGTAGGAGAAAGGACGTACCAGCCAGCACTAGAATTGAGATTAGTACAATACATATTATGAGTATCACTTTGAATCAATTTCTTACGTGTAAGACTAAATTAGAGTTAGCAGAAGATCGTGGAACTTGGGCATAGTGGGAATTACCTTTAGGAACTTGGACTTTCTCTCAAGGAGACCCTCTCTAATGCACCCAGCAAGCTCGTTGTCCTGTCCAGGATATCTTATAATCTCTGGTGTTCGAATAGGAAGCTTTGGATCAACAAAATGTTCATCATTTTCGACAAATGCCGTCCATTCATGATCTTTTGGCATGGCAATTGGACCCGCGCGTAATTCGTCTACTGCGCTATAGGCACTGTCTGCCTCACGCTTCAATATACCTGCGAGCGCGTTATAAGACTTTTGGATCTCGCCCACTACAATAGCTTCGAGTTCACGCCCAGAGGCTTCCAAATTGAGATATGCCTGGTTATTTTAGCTCCTGAGCCTCTGAATTTTTTTTTGGAAAATATTGAAACATACCTGGTGAAGGTAATTCTCCTCATCAATCTGCTTTTCGACCTGACGATCCACAGCAAGCCTGAGTAAGTATGGATCATGCTTGCCCGTCATTTGAGAAGGATCAATGTCTGATTGACCTAAACCATCTTGCAATGCGGCCACAGCCTTTCGAGTCGCTTCCATCTCCTTATCCACGGAATTTTTAAAGTCGCCCGATAAGCCCTTGATCTCCTTGATCTTCTGTTGCAAATCGCTACGCAAGCCGGTCAAGGCAAGAATAACATCTTGCTCGATATCTCTGGACTTGTTTGCCTCTGCGATTGCGGATTTATGATAATTGCGAAGAATCTGGAGGGCGTCGTCAATTCCACCTGTAGGTAAAAAGACGGCGGGCGCCGTGGTATTGTTAATAACATTCGAGACCTTCAAAAGGCTCTTTGATCTGTGCTCATATTGGCTTTGGATTTCTTTGAAATAAACGATAAGATCCTTAAGGACTTTACGCCAAGCTGAAAGTAGAAGATAATGATTAGCATATTGTCGCCGATCAAAAGCTATGGTGAAATACCTTGAAACCGGTTTGCCAAAATATCCGTGGGATTTCCGGTTGTGGGTACTGGAGAATAGAAAGCACTATGTGCCTCGTCGATATCACCTTGTGGATGAACCACCAAACTGCGAACACTCCCTGCCCTGGAACTTCGTTTACTACCGCTTCTTTTTAATGAAGCTTTCTTTTTAAGAGTTCCCCCTCTGGAAGGAATCAAGGTATCGCCTTGCGACATGACTGAATATGATCGATGCATATTGCCGTCTACTATTGAGCTTCCTCGTTGACTCGCATCCCACTCCTCGTTGAATCTTCCGTGTGAGTTTTGAATACTCGTATGAGGATCGTGATCGTTTGAAGCGTAGTCTAATACTGCAGGACCTCCTCCGTTGATGATTTGAGATTGTGGATGTGCTCGTGGGGTACTTGCAGCGCCGTAACCTCGATCGTTGTATGATTGCGCGGGGGCAGGAATTGCAGAATTTGTGCCGATGGTAGACATGATGAATAAATAAGGGCAAAGGACGAGTCGTGAAAGGAAAGGGAAGGGAAGGGAAGGGACGGGACGGGAAGGAAGAGAGAGAGGAAGGGAAGGGACGGCAGGGAAAGTAGTAGTAATTGAAGGTGGTAAGGAAGATTGGTGGTAATGGTAATGGTAATGGTAATAATGGTAATAATGGTATGGGGGATTTGATCGTTGACGTGACGTAGGGGGAGATCAAGCTAAAATGGGTGGTTGTGGACTAATAAGGGACCCAAGACATCAGATACCCAGTAGAGTAGCACAAACAATGGACGGAAATTTACTAGTCAAGGGAAAAAAAACCGGAAATTCCAAATTCCAAATTCCTCGAGATTTCAGATTTCGGATTTACGAATCAAATCAAATGAGTCAGCGATTTGGGTTGTATTGATACGTTTCTTATATCTCTGAATGTTGTTCAATTCTTTTTGGTTTTCAACGAGAATAGATGATGGCTGAGATATCGTCGCAGGCATGAGGGAGGTATTTTGGAAGATGATCTAGAATTGAGGAGGGGAGGGGTGAAAGGATATATTACTACCAGGTAATGTAATATAGGTATGACAAGCAGGTGGTCACTCCTTCATGGGATTTATAAGTTAGCGACAAGTCTACTGGGGATCTAGGTATGAAAGCGAATAATACCTGGGTTAGTAGGATAAAGAGAAATACTCAAGAGATACTATTGTAAGGCTTCTATGTGAAGTGGAATAATAGAATGATTATATATATGTATATATATATGTTTATCTTATACTTATTATGAAAAGTACGAGTGTAGGAGTGTACGAGGTAGATAGGTATCTACATATGATATGTAGATATGTCTCCAAAATCTTGTACAGGTATTAGGCGTGTAATATGAATCCACGGAAGAGAAGGACGGGGATGTGGACGGAGATGGAGATGGAGATGGATACTGAGGAGTAGATGATCAATTATTCAAGACGCTTATCTACGAGTAGGAGATACTGAATACTACCTACCTAGGTATATTGTTCTATGATCAAAATCCGGAAATTATACATCGATAGTTATATTACCGTTTACAGTCGAGAATCATACCTACATAACCAGGATTCATTTTTCCCTATGACGTGAATTTTATAATGATAGAGAGGACAGAAAGGAAAGAAGAAAGAAAGTGGAAAAGGCATGACCCTCATTCGTCAGTCCCCGTCCTCCGTAAGTAGATAGGTGTGGTAGGCTCGAGGGAGGTACTAGGTACGGAGTAGGCTCGAGGGAGGGTAAGATTACACACGTAGATACGTACTAAATAGGTAAATCTCAATTTAACAGGTAGGACCAATCAGAGGGTTCATCGAAGGGTCAAATTAATACCCAATACGCCAATCATCAATTAATCGTATCTAGCGAAATCGAAAAGAATCTTGTTCTTGTTCTTACTCTCGCTCTCGCTCTCGCTCTCCTCCTTTTTGCTCTTGTCCTTGATTTCCCCGTCCAGCTTCGATCGCAGACAAATCATTCGTGAAGATCCCTCCCTAGAAAATGATGACATTATCATTCATTGGTACTAGTGCTACACAGGGACATACATCACATCGTATATCAGTTTTGAGACATTTGCATCGCTGCAACTTATTGCACCTTTTTCTTCCTTTGGGCTTCAGGCTTCAAAATTCAAATGATATTCATAAATACTAGGGATTGGATGCTGGGTGCTGGATACTGGGTACTGAGGACTAGGGAGTAGAGACTAGAGACTAGAGACTAAAGACTAGAGATTAAAAACTAAAGACTAAAAACTAGAAACTAAAAACTAAAGATTAAAAATTAAAGACTAGAGATTAGAAATTAAAAACTAAAAACTAAAAACTAAAGATTAAAGATTAGAAACTAAAGACTAAAAACTAAAGACTAGAGACTAGAGATTAGAGATTAAAGACTACCTACCTACATAGAGACTAGACATTTATCATTGGTCACTGATTACTCATTGAGTACCAGGGTACAAGAATCTAGTCAAGCTTGCAAGTTGCAAGTTGCAAGTTGCATACCAGCCTGCTACCGCTACCGGCCTGCTACCAGCCGACAAGTTGGAGCTACTGCAACGGCTACATGATAGCAATTAATATAAGAGATCTCATCATGTGAGGTGCATCACACTACTACTGACTGCCTGCCTGACTGTACTGTACATCATCTACTGACATCTACTGATTGATACCTAGTCATTCAAAATGCTTCCAGAGATATTCCATTTCCTTCCTTTCTCATCTACTTATGAATCTATCCAGAGTATACTGTCGACATATCCCTCGGTCCCTACTCGAGTACTACATGCTTGGTCACGGGATACCTACCTCTTCGTTCAAATTTGATATCGTGACTAAGTTCAGATCCTTCTCATCTCATTCTATTACATTCGATTATATACCACGCTCGATCTTCTTGATCATTCCTCCATTCAAATCATCGTACCATAAACGTTCGAGTACTACTACCAGTCCCTCCACACCTAGAAGACCAGGCAAATATAATAATAAATCATCACTCGAGCACCAACGTGAGAAATGAAGAATGGAGTGACTGGCCCCATATCAATTTGCGTGCCATCATCAAAAGGTCTCGTGCGATCATGTGCTTTACTATATTGAGTCTAGCACAGATGATCTCCCGATAAATCATCCCTACTCATTTTTGGCTTCCCCGCAAATGGATCGATATTTCACATTTCATTGTTCCACTTTCTTTTCCTTGAACCACATCGGAATTACGGGAGAAGCTGGGAGAAGGTCGAGAGAAGGGACTGGTGGACCATGTTAAGACAAGGTCTCGAAATATCACTCACCATATCTAACGGGATAACGGCGTCAAGGTGTTCAAGATAGGAGTATCAAATCATCAGAGACACTTCATGAAGACCCCTTTCTTTGGGAAAAGTCACTCGAGACTCGAGAGTCAAAGGCTTGAGGCTGGCTGGCTGGCTGGTTGGCTGGTTGGCGTACTCTACATCTACAAGCTGGAGCGGATTGAATATCGCTAACAATTCGTTCTAGGATCAGTCGGATATCAAATCTTCAAAAGAGAAGCAACCATAGATTAATCATTTATTTTCCAATAATTTCATGTCCGTGTCATCCTTACAAATTACCCAATACCCACCTACTTATTACAGTAGTTGACCCACGCCACGAAAGTACATCCACCTTTGATCTTTTCACGATGCTTTAAACCATTCGCAACGGCTTGACCTCGGGAATCGGGTTACACAACTTTAATTTTCATCGTCGTCCAAGTTCCATCCATCACTACTCAGTGCCTCATTAGCTAAACCGCTTGGATGTCATAACAACTGCCGTGTGGAAACACCTTGCGGATCCCACTTCTGCTTCAATGATTTCAATCTCTTTAAACTTTCCTCTACTCAATATTATCGCTGGATAGGATCTGTGCGATTGCAATTTGCACAACAACCCCAGTCTTCCTCAGCATGTCCATCGCTCATAGCTGAAATCGCTTTGTTCTCGAAGTCAAGAACGATGTCGTGGTTTTCTGCTTCATGGCACCAGAGAAACAGTTGCTAATGACCAAAAAAAGAAAAGTTCCAAACTTGTGTCGTGACATGTATGAGGATATCACTTACAGTCAGCCATAAATGAACGTGCTCATTACCAAATGCCCAATTGGCTGGTGACAATTTTGATATTCCGGTATGCCACTCGAACACATGACCAACAGCCCCAGCGTCGGGGCAGGTGGCCAACAACTCTTTGTAAATTTCGATAACTTTCATGAAATTTGGGCTTCTGAAATCAGGAAAGTCTGTCAAGTTGAACTGTTTGAGATATCCCTTAGCACAGGCGAAGTCCAAGTGGTCGCTCGAACTAGGGTAGTAAGGGTCGATGCCAATGGCATAGTCGGATTGAGATCTGTAAGAGGTTGGAATGTAAGAGGTTCTTCCGTTGGATCTCCGCTAAAGTCGAGACTGTTATTGAACGTTCTAGTAGGCCTGTACATATGCACATTTCGCCGGTGTTCTTTTACACACATAGCTAGTGCACATGCGTATAAAGGGCGGGAGAAGATCCGGGTCGGATGAAGAATCACATAAATAGGGTGCAACAGCGATCATTGGCTGAAATGCCGGGATGGTGCCATTGCCACCATGATCCCAGCGGCGTCATACTTCGTGGTGACTATCAATCGTTCCATCACCCTGCACACTTCCTCCGTACTATTTGAACAATACAAAGATTGCCGATCTAGTGTGCCCCTGATGGCGACCCAAAGATTGACTGTGGATATGTCCTCAGATTCAACTTTACCATGACACCAAACATTCGCCTGCTCCTTTGATCGCCCATAGGAGTTCGGGCCCAACATCTGTACTCGCGTGTATAAGAGTATCATCGGCAGTGATTACTTTGCCGCCACTATTTGATCGCACCCGAAATCTATTGTACTAGTCCAAATACTAATACCACCTCCGAGGCAGAAAATAATAATGCCAACGGTGTTGCCTTTACCACTTATTAGGATCAGGTGTTAATGACACAACATGAGATGACTGTCGAGTGGTACTTCAAACCGCTCTCTTAAGCGGTGGTTCCTTTTGGGCATAATGATTCTAGCTTCGATACCGATGCTGTCGCTTTTGCACCGACGGTTGGGGATCTTTGGCAAAGCACTGATGAGCTGGCGCTCAACAGCACGTAAGCCTGTCATGTTATCTAATACTGGCGTGAAAGTAGAATGGCTGGTGATTTTAGGTATATGAATTTTGCATCCAATGATCCTGTTCAAACCGTTCATGGGTCCGGTATTCAAAAATTGCAGATTCAGAAGACAGTTTATGACCCATTTAGTCGATTTAGTCAATTCCTTCAGCTGTAGAGTTCACTTTAGTTACTTGAGCGTTATTCAGGCTACACATTTTCTTAGAAGGTCACACGATGGAGGTATCTAGTTCACATCATAATACATACCAGTTTCTATAAAGTTCACTCGCTTCAATACTTAATCGCCAATATTGATGACGTAAAAGAGTTTGATTATAGTGTACCACCAGGTATTTCATCGCCATTCCGTCCATTTCGCCTATATTTAAACATATCTGTACAACTCTGTGAGTTGTATAGTATGACCTAGGCCCCTGAGACTTCAGTTGCTGCTTGATTCTGTATGACCATGCAAGTGATCCCATTCAGGCCCAATGATATGAGATTCTGAGACCATTCGATAAGTATAATGTACAGATGTGTGGCTTTTACACTGGAAAATTCACTAGTATGAGGTGGCAGGCTGTGTTTGTGCGCCGGCAAAAAGCAGGTCCATAGCAACAGTTGCAACCAACATTATATGTTGTTGCATTTTGGATAGCTTATAGCCTGAAGTCTGAAGTGTCATACCAAGCTAGCTTTCACATTTCAAGATTACATACTCGAATTATTCGCCGATCGTTTTCACGCAGTATTATTCTCGATAAGTATGAAGACGTCAATTCAGAGTTCGAACGATGGAAATGAACCACTCGGCGTCCTTATAATCGGAGGCTGCGGCTTTGTGGGTTACCACCTTGTGTGTCATTTTGTTTCGAATTCGAACTTCTCTCCTGTAGCCGTCGCCAGTCGTTCTGCCAAACAAAGCAAAAATCAAGTGAGTGGATCGACTTACCACAATGTTGATCTTACCGATGCCTCTTCGATAGAGAAATTAATCGATAATCTCAAACCTACAGTCATTATGCACGTTGCATCTCCATCTCCCGTGACAGGGACAGCGAATGATTACGACAGGGTAGCGATCCAAGGCACGAAAGATCTTCTCCGCATCGCGAAAAAGTCGAAGGATGTACAAGTGCTTGTTTACACTTCATCTTCACTTCTTTGCAGCGGATCAAAACACGTAAATCTTACCGAAGAATCTCCTCTCGCCGACAGCGACCCCAGAGCGCCTGCATATGCAAGAACTAAAGCACAGGCAGAGAAATTAATCTTGAGTGCAAACAACCCCTTGTCATTAGACGACTCTAAAAACAAAGCCTTCTCATGCGAAGGTTATCTTTGCACAGGCGCTCTGCGATTCCCAATTATCTACGGAACGCATGATCCGATATGTATACCCGGTGCGTTGAACGCCCTGGAAAAGCGCAGAACAAACGTGGTTCTGGGCGATGCCAACAATCTCTGGAGTTTCTGCAGTGTTCAAAACGCAGCATCTTCACATGTTCTACTCGCGCGAGCTCTCCTTGACACGCGCCAGCGAAAATGCTCCAATCTTACATCGGCAGACGGAGAAGCATTCCATATCTACGATGGCGAAGCACGGAAGTTCTGGGGGTTCGCAAGGATGATTTGGCAATTTGCGGGCTACACATCGAACGATGAGCGGATTTACCATTTGCCAACGTGGTTTGCGTTGGCTCTTTCGTCGGTGTTGGAATTTGTGTTTTGGATTTTTACATGTGGGAGGAAACGACCGTATCAGTTGGGGAAAAAGCAGGTGGAGTATGCACTGTTTGAGCATACGTATTGTATTGAAAAAGCGAGGAAGGTGTTGGGGTATGAGCCGATTCAAGATTTTGAGGAGGGGCTTAGGAAGGCGGTGGCTGGGTCGCTAGAGCATGGTGGGTGGAGATAGAGACTTAGGGCGGTAGTAAATGGAGGATGATATGTTTCTATCAGAATTCTAGCTTTTGTAAATGGGGCGGTTTTTTATGAACTCAAAAACAGATTTGGTGGTTTACCTGAAGATTTGTCTTTCTCGCTCGCGGAGCTACTTTCAATACAATGGCAGCATTCGAAATCGGAGTCTTTTTCTAATCGAACAGACATCAAATCCTCAATATCTACATATCACAATTGTGTAGGGAGGACTTTTGATAGTATTAGCTTCTGCAATATAATTGATTGAGGTTTACAATACACTAGACACCAACCGACTAAGAGAAATATTATTTTACCATACTTGCTTCCCTATCAGAACCGTGCGGCGTAATGAGGCACATGTCTCAGGGTCCAATAGCTAGTCTAAAGCAACAAGATACCGACAGCCAACAATCAGTCGGCAGATTCACTTATTAAATACCAATGGAAGTCGTAGACCGTGTAACAATCTCAAGTGAATCACAAATCAGATGCCATGATATTTTATATGCCAACACATTTTCTTCATATAATCACAACCTCCAACTTCTCCACGCCCAACAAGTTGAATGTATCAAACGTGATATCAACCACCTAACTCCTAAAAGAAACTTTCAGGAACGCAGACAATGGCAACTGTAGAAATCTATTTACTCTTCGCTATCATAGGAGTATCTTTCACTCTCCTAACCCGGGCTTTTCTGCCGCGGCTCTAGCACTGACTCTCAAGAGCCCCCAGAAATCAAACCAACCATCCCATACATCGGTCACGCCCTCGGCCTCTTCTGGTACAGAAGTGCATACTATACCAAAATCTAGTAGGTCCTACTCCTTCCCGCAGAGAGTTTAACGTCCCGTAAAGCAGTACACGAGTGCTGACTCGCGCCCCATTGGATGTACAGCCAAACATGGAAAGCACCAATCATTTCGATCCCTATGTTTGGCGGAAAAGTGCACATCGTCGGCTCTCCGGAACTGATAACCTCTCTTCAGAGACAGGGCAAGACCGCTTCTTTCTGGTACCTGGAGGCCCTGCTCACAGCTGAACTTGGGGGCCTGAGCAGAGATGGGATGAAGAAATTGGTTGCCAATCTAGAGCCAGCGTCTGAGAAACCTAGTCTCTTGATAGATGGATTGAAAGCCACACAGCAGGCAATCTCCCCTCTTGGCGGCGTTGATGGCATGATCCGTATCGCAGCAGAAAATATCCAGGCCCGTCTTGACAATTTAGCAAGTGAAACAGGTGATATCAATTTAACTACTGATCTTTGGGCATGGGTTCAGCATGAAATTACGGTTGCCACGACGGAAAGCGTCTACAGTCCCGAAAATCCGTATCGAGATTCAAAGGTAGAAACTGGGTTCTGGTATGTCGTGCTTGAACAGCTTATATCTACCACACTAAGCTAAGCGTGATATAGGAACTTTGCCAACGACAATGTCACGCTCCTGTTGACAAAGTTTCTCCCGAATTTTGTTGCCTCCAAAGCCATCAGAGGTCGAGCCGTAGTGGTAGAGGCAATGAGTCGTTACTTTACTAAAGGTGCCCAAAAGAATGGTTCATCGCTGGTCAAAGCAAGATACGCAAGTCTATCGACCGAGATGAGCCACGACGACCTTGCCAGATTCGAGTGTGTCAATGGCATTGCAATAATGACCAACACGGTTCCTACCGCTTTCTGGACAGTCTTCCATATATTTTCTGATCCCGAGCTTCTGGGGGAAGTGCGGGAGCAAGTGCGAGAAATAACAACCACCACGCGTTCGATGGAGACGGGTAATTTGGAACGTAAGATCAACCTTCGTAGGTTAAAAGACGCACCGATACTCTTCTCCGCGCAACAAGAAGCTTTACGATTCCGAGCTACCGGCACGCAACCGCGTATGGTCATGGAAGATATGATCGTTAGAGATGATGAGTATCTCCTTAGGAAGGACTCAATGGTGATCATAGCCAATAGAGCATTACACTATGACAAGAAGACCTGGGAAGAGGCGGCCGATGTATTTCGCGCGAATTGTTTTTGCGGCAAGGTTCCTGGACATGCTTTCCGAGGCTTCGGCGGAGGTTTAAACTTGTGTCCCGGACGAGGGTTTGCTATGGTAGAGGTAGCGGCGCTTGTGGCAATGCTAGCAATGAGGTTCGACTTGGTACCAGTAGGGGGAAATTGGGTTGAACCTGGCCAAGATCTCAATAATATGTCTCTTCAGGTTGCTCCGCCCGGAAGGAAAGTGATAGTCAGTATAGTACCCAGGGAGGGATCAGATGGACAGAAATGGTCTTTTGAGTAGTTATGGATCTTTCACTCACACTATTGCTGTATGACTCCTATTGATTGATGTAAGATATTGGCTGCTGGCATCAATTGGCGAGGAAGCGATTCGGATGGTTGAAGATGACATAGATTCAAACTTAAATTTTACAATACCAGTTCTAATTGATATTTTGCCCAGATTGGAACATTAAATGACTGGCCATTCCAGTAAAATACTAACATTGTTATCTTATACTGTAATCGAAAATAGAAAATCCCAAATCCCAAACCATCGTTCCAGCCGCCCTTTTCCTTTTCGCTTACATGGAGCGCATCAACAGGATTCGAGAATACGATCGATAGTAATACATCAAATCGCTTCATTTGAGCTTAGAATTTGTATAGTCCCTCGATTTGCAATTTAAATTTGCTAACAATGTTCATTCTGAGACACTTAAGAAGTGGAAAAGGGCCAGCGTTATTCCTGACTCCAGCATTCTGTTATTCTTGCTCTGCGTAGCTTCCATTGGCGCTTTTGCAACTTCAGACTCACTAATTACTACACGCGACTCTTCAACATCTCAAAGCATAATGGCTGATAATATCCAGAGAACGAGAGAGGATAGAAAGCTGATGATGGACCAAAGAACGAAAGTGAGAATTGCCAGAAATCCCAAAATTTACCTAGTATCTCAACGAATAAGCTAGCGCTACAAAATTTGTGCATAGATGGAAATGTGGTAGCATTTGACTACCGAGCTTCTGCGTAGGCGTTCCATACATCCCGGCTTGTAGTAGGTATTTGTAAATACCACTAGAAACGTGTGCTCTCCCAATTCACCACCTCGATACTCGGCTTGCGAAAAGGGCAACAAGCGGAAGCAAGATGAGATAAAACAAAAAGAACATCATCTCTCCGTAGAGAAACACCTGCCAAAGGCTCCACTTCAATCCAAGTATTGTCAAGTGAATACTTATTCACCTTCCCTCCATCCCTCACCATCCGCTCTCTGTTTCCCACCATTCAACATTCACTACAACCAACCTCGCCTAACCAATATAATCTTCAATCCCGCCAGTTCCCTTGTCAAATGGTGGTATTGACCCAATAGACAATCTAGCTTAACGGTTAGACACAACAACTCGAGGTGCGCGCGGTATCTTTGTAGGGAGCATTCGATCCCCTCGGAGTCATTGATACCGCGAAATAGGTCAACAGAGATGTAGCGCGCCTGGTGCATCGGGCGCGTGAACTCTTTTGCTATTTTATTTACTTGAATAGTGGGGCTACCCCAAGGGAGGAAGTTTAGATTCACTACCACCTGCGACGCCGCACATATATGGATGAGAGGTTTAAGGAACACAGCTTATCAACGAAGTAATAATGTATGGGGTCAGACCCGATTGTATTTTATCGTCTTCCTGAAGGATGTTTACAGACTCTCAATATTCAAATGGAAGTTGATAGTCTTACCTAGCAACTTGTGACTTTTTGATAACTACTATTCAATCCGAATTTTTGAGTAGAAGTGTATACTCATCCGACCCTGCACTCCTCACTCCGACGCCGTTGTATTATTTGCGGAGGAACAAAGACCTTCCCTTCCCTTCCTAATACCAATGCCCCCACGATAACTCCAAATTCGCCAACAATACACATAGTTCCACGTTCCATCACTCCACCCCCGCCGCCTCAGGTGGCTGCGTGGTCATAGCCTTAAGTTTCGTTCTCCTCCTCGGTGGCGTCATCGGTGGCACTTTCTTTTGAGCAGTAATTGCTCTAACAGCCGGTGGAAGCGGTGGCAGCGCGCGTTTTTTCTTTGGAATTTCATCAGAGGGCGCCATCACAGGCGTATCGTGATCATGTGCAGCGTTTTCACTTTCTGCTTTGCGACTAGGTGTTTGAACACCAGGTTTTTCTGTAACGGCAGCTACATCCGAAACGCTTATCGAGCTACCGGTATGTGAAGGCGAGAGGCTTATACCGAGGAGTTTCCGCGCTACTTCTCCTTCGCTGATGTCGTCATCCCGGAGCCAGGGAACTTTGGCTACTCGCTCGACGAGTCGTATGGTGGTTTCGTCTGCTGGTTCCCAATGTGCATTACCCGATCCACCGAGTATGCTTAAAACTTTCACTACTTCGTGTTTCTTGTAATGTGGTGGTTGCTGTAATTGTGTATGTGCAAGTAATGGGTAAAGGACTCGAAGATATGTGTGACGGAGGGAGACAAACTCATTAGGGAGATCGAGAAGGTTACGAATTATGACATCCAGTAGGACGCGAAGATCATTAGTGTAAAAGTATTCGTAGGTGGCTTTTGTAGTGAACAACAAATATAAAAGCTTGAGGATTAGGAGTTGTAGAGAGGTTTCAGTCTCGCGGTTTAGTAGAAGAATGATATTCTCTCCAAAGGTCATATACGATGACCCTTTGTGGCTGAGAATTTTAACAACTCGATTCGTTAGAGTATGTGAAGGATCCGATGTTGATGTGGAAGCAACCATATACTGTTCATTCAAAACTAACTAGAGAAGGTGTTAGCAATTGGGGTGTTAGATTTAAACCTGCGGGAGAGACTTACTAAAACTCGAATGACAGGATAATGGTAAGGATCATTAACATCATCCGATAGCTCTTCAATTATCTCAAAGAGACATATGATGAACTCGTCATCTACCTGACCCAAGTCCTCGAAACTAAGCCTTTGCATCCTTGACATCTCATACAAAGTTTCCAGTAGTAGTCTATGTAAAGTTGGATCTTCCCTATTCCCTTTCTTGACCAACTCCAATAACCTTGGGAAACATCCCTCCTTATTCATCATTTCGAAAGTTGTCTCATTATTGCGCCCATCGAATAGTAGAAAGCTCGCTATCACATGTAGCGTAGCAGGTACGTCCTCCTGCATGAGGCTATAGACGATCTGGGTCCTCACATAGTCCTTATTCGCTGCGAATAGCTCGCTCTGCATCAATTTGTGCAAACATTTTGCAACTTCAAACTCTGATTGCAGATATTCGTCTTTGAAGTTGGTTGTAAATTTCAAGTAGGATCGCAGCGCATTATCAATTAATTGATGCGACGCACATTTCGAAGAAACGATGTCATCGATCTCTAAAGGCAATCTTTAGTAAGTACCCCAAGTAACACAGAACCCAAGGGAGCCATATATGTGTACATACCATCCCAGAATTGTTGTTCATTATCTAAAGTGTATGCAACCTCGAATCCGTCCATATTGGTTTGTCCAACTAGAAGGAGAGTTTACAGAGAAAGGGTATTTATGCTATCGTAAGAGCATCCCGAAGTTTGTATGTGCAAAAATATAATTATAATCGAGGAATAGAATGGGCCGTACAATTAAGACAACTTGTAAATCGAGTCCCAGTTTGTCGCGATCAACACAGACAGACACTGAACACTGAACACTGTTGCACTGTTCGTAGAAAGGAAGTGGTAAGTTTGATAAGTTTGAAGTTTGTATTGATCCGCATTCAAGGTCAGTGCCATTATGCCGTCGGGATTTATACAGTAGCGCCCAAAATTTGACAAGGCTGATGACGAGGCTTCGTGATTGATTAATTCACAAGATTTGTTTAACATTGCCATCACATTCACAATCTCAAGTACAATGCAATCACAGAAACTGAATCTTTCATTAAGGATTTGTGAATGATTTTTCTCTTTTCTCTTTTCTCTTCTATCTTCTTGAATGTCATCGCACAAGCTTCTTGAAGCCATGATGTGTACATTTTACAGAGTATACTAAATGGTTGAATCACCGTCAACTTGCAAAGCCTAACCAACGCCTGGATCAGAATCGAAGATATCTTCTCAACCGAAATTGAATCCCCCTTGCCCGAACTTGAAATTAAATTGTTGCCCACCACCATGATGTCCACCGCCATGTTGGAAAGGGAATCCACCGCCACCAAATGGGCTACCCTGTTGGAATGGATGTCCTCTTTGTTGCTCGTGGTCATTTGGATCATCTCCTTGGTCGAAGCGAGCCTTCAATTCAGGATCACTCAGTACTTCGTATGCTTCATTAATCGCTGCCATCTTCTTTTCAGCCTCTTCCTTACTAATTCCTTGTTTATGGGCCTTATCTGGATGATTTATTCTGACTGATTTTCTGTATGCGGATTTGATCTGAAGCTCGTCCGCATCCTTAGGAACCCCTAGAACTTTGTAGTAATCTTTTGTCTTGCTTCGCTTTAATTCTACTTGGGCTTTTTGTAAGAGTCCTCCAATCTGCTGCGCTTCAGGATGGTTTTCCTTTGCAGTGTTGAGGGTGGATATAGCAGCTTCGTAGTTCTCTGCTTCCATATGTTTCTGGGCTTTATGAAGGAGTCCATAAAGGGAGTTTTCGTTGAGTGAAAGAGCTTCGTCACAGTAAGCAGTGGCCTTCTTAGTATTTTTGGTCTATATCACGTTAGTTAAAGAGAAAATGACTCCAGAGCTTTGAAAATACCTCGTGATAAGCCTGGCAAACCATTTCGACAACTTGAGTGAGCAGGTGATTTGGCGCATGCTCAGGGATTAAGCCAGCCTCTCGGTGTTCCTTGACATCATCCTTTATCTCTTGAGCCAACCCAACTTCGTCCCCGGATGGAACAAGAAGTTTCACTCCGCTCGCAAATTGATGCTTTTCAAAATATTTCCGAACCTGGGCTAAGGCTTTATCGATAGTCTTCTCTCTTCTGTATAGTTTTTTACAACTCTTCGAATCTGGATCTGAATGCAAGCACTTCCTCAATTGGTCCATACCCTGCTCCATTTCCCCCAAGCTGTAAAAGTTGATTGTAGAAATCCGGAGATGGGGATCCGTAAGTCCTGGTTGCATTTGAAGAACGTGTTTGAGATCACTCATTCCTTCTTGAACTTCACCGCGTTCGAATCGACAATGAGCTCTAGTTTTGCGAAGTGATACTACCTTGGAGGCAACCATTATTGCAGCTCCGGCTTGTGTTACACATTCTTCCCAATTCTGATTTTTCTCTGCATCCACTGCCAAACTAGCTGCGCCTTGGGCCTCTACTAGATTCGCGAGTTCTTCTTCTGCTCCATGAGATGCGCCGAGGGAGAGGTAATCTTGTTTGGCGTTTTCCCAATCTCCGTTCTTTGCTCTGATCTTCGCCCTTTGTGATAATGCCGGTTCATGGCCTGGTTTGATTGTTAATACTTTATCGAAGTCTTGGGCAGCCTGAGCCATTCGACCAAGGGAAAGGTAGGCAGCTCCGCGACGAAAATGACTGAGATAGTTCGATGGATCGCGGGCGATAGCAATGTCGTAATAAGTTAAGGCATCATTCGTTTCGCCCTTTGCTAGATGCGCGTTGGCAGATGCCAATAAAGAAGAAATGGGAGTATCAGAGGGAATATCATTCGCAGAAAGTGCCGAAACCAATGAGTTTGTGGATAAGAGAGTTGCGGCAAAGGCAAGGACCGACAACTTTACTTTCACAATCATTGTGAGTGTATGTATTTACGTCTATGACGAATCTAAATGTAGAGGGTTTAAAGCATGGGATAAAGAGTGAAGAAGAATGAGGGAAAAAAAGGATTGAGCGCTGGTCTTTAAGAAAAGGCGATAACAGTTGAACAATATGAACAAATTAATTACACGTGGAAGATATTCGATGATATCGGCAGAATTAGGTGGCCTTTTCGACTCAATTCGGGAGGTCTTTGAGGCCTGCTTAATTGGGGCCGATGAGGCGTCTGCATTAAGTTCATTATTTGATGTTCAATTGTTTACAGTCTAATCTCGATTAGGTAATATCTCCGTCAAATCCTTGCTTAGCGTATCATCAGCCTTGTTCACCTTGTTGGCATCGTTCATGAACACTTTCTACAAAAATATATCTTCATCTCACAACTGCATTTATCACAACGCCCCAGGACTTTGTTCGCTCAAATTCTCCTCCAAATTCTCTGGGATAATTATCTCTAAGATCGTAAAGTCTCACTCGTTCGAATCTACAACAAATATTATACTGTTTCCAATAGCTCCAAAGTTAAATTCTCCTACTGATAATACCTCCCCCACTGGGGTTCATATTTCGATTCCTGGATCTGCAAATCGACTTACATCCAATATGTCTCACCTTTCGCCCGCAACGATATTCTCACCTACAGTTGCTCGTCAACAACTTGCAGCTGCTAAAGATTGGTCATATATAGATAGCTGGCTTTTGATTAAATTCGCCAATCAACCCATTCCAGCCTTCGAACGAAATGCCTCTACACTCAAAGCCCTCCTCTCTCTCGCCTCACTTAATGAGACCGCAGACGAAGAACAAGAACTCCTGGCTCGATCTCGAGAGAATGCTCTCACCGCCATCCAAACCTCCCTCGATAATGACCCAAATACAGAGCTCTTGCACACCCTCGAAGATTCCCTTACTCCTGAGGGCCAAACTGCTCTCGAGAGTCTCTCATCTTTATCCACAACCCTCAATTTATCCACTCCGTCCACTGAAATTATCGGCCGCAAACTACTCTCTCTGCAAACTACATCCTACACACTTTCTCAAGCCACCTCACGCGTGGCTACTCTCCAACGTTCCCTCACCACGGAACTGACCAATCTAACTACACTCATCGCTTCCCTCCAATCGCCCTCCTACCAAGCCCCAACCGACCTACCAAAGCAAACTCTCGACCTCCAACGCAAAATTAAAATTCTCACCAGCAAACTTCCAGAAATCCGCGAGCGCACAGCCGCCCTGTCCTCCTCGCCTAATTCTTCTACGTCTAAGATAACAGTAGAAACTATCAAAGCCGAAGAAGAGAAATTCAAAGAGTGGTTAGCGACAGTGAAGGATTTGGAAATGCAGGTTAAAGCATTCCATGGTTTACCACAAGATATCGATTTGGCGAGACTAGAACTGGAGAGCTTGAGAATGGAGTTGAGGGATCTTACCAGGGAGAGGGACGGGCTATTTGAAGGGCTTGTGGAGAGGGAAAGTCCAAAGAAGAGGGGGAGATAGGATGGTGAATCGCTGTTTCTAATCACTGACGCATAGGCGCAAATTTAGTGATGAATTACGTGATGACTCTGCAAGCTTCCAGGGATGGAAGCTCCTGTAAAGGAGTTCGATTGCATCTGATGTTTCTCATTAGATTATTCACCGTTTTGCAACATTCAACATATCCAAACATATGCCGTTTGCTTCAACATAACGCCTCTGAGAATATCATGTAAACCTCATCATTTCACTAGAATCGTACTATACATACAGGACCCTCTTCGCATCATGTTACTTGTTTCCATAGTGTGCAAATGCTCGCCAATCATACAGACCGTAAATAGACCGATTCATTTATCCAAGAATCTCGCGTACATCCCTCGCATACGCACCAGGGGACCGAAAAAATAAACAATACAAACAAAGGAGATGGTATCAAATACAGCATTATTTCCAACAGCCAGTGTGGCACCCGCAAAATCTTACCGCTTGCTTTGTAAATAGTACCAAATCATGCAAATATAGAGGCTGAGGAAGCATAGAATAGATCTAGACTTCAGTCTAATTAATGTTAACTGAAATCCTGAAGGTGATATATATTTTGAGAGGTAGTTTGTGAAAGGTCAGGTGTCGCGGAAAAGCCGTGTGTCCAATTAATATGTGCCGCGAATCTTAGCATAAAGTTCTGTGTCCAGAAAGTTGTAGTGAGTATCCAATTCACAGAAAGGATGCTGAGTAAGGAGAGTTTCGGCTGTTGGTCGTTCGCTTGGAATACTGCGTCATGGTGTTAGTAAAAGCTTAAAATGCTACAGATGAAAAAAACATACATAGTCCAACAGTCCATCATGAAACCTAAAGCTCCAGGGCTAATGGCTTGGGCAACATCGTCTGGAATCGGCGGTGCCTCACTCAAACTTCCCAGTTTGTAAATAGCGCCTACAGTTTCCTCTTTGGCCCAAGGTCGTTTGCCACCCAACATTTCTAGGACAACGCAGCCAAGTGACCAAATGTCCACCTTCGCCGAATATCCCTCACCTTGTGACCGAACGACTTCAGGGGCCATCCAAAACACGGATCCCTGCATATTATTGGATGCATCGTTGCCATAGATGTTGTCCGATTTCTTCGAGATACCAAAATCAGAAATCTTGCACGTTCCATCAACATCGAGTAAGATGTTATCGGCTTTGAGATCACGATGAAGAATACCTTCTCGATGAAGATATGCTAACCCATCGAGAGTTTGACGAGTTAGCGAACTGACGACCGTCTCTTCAAATCTGCCGTGCTTTCGAAGACAACCTCCTACACTACCACCAGAAATATATTCCAAAAAGATACTGATAGACATCTCGCCTCTTTCACAACCAAGATATTGCACAATATTCGCATGATCAAGATGCTGCATGGTATCAATCTCTTGGTCTAGTGCTGCTACCATCTCACGAATTTTTTCCTTGTCATTTCCAGCCGCTTTGGAGTTGACTTCAACCTGTTTCACAGCCAAAAACTCTCCAGTTGTAGCATTCATACCCAGGTAAACACGCCCGTAAGTACCCTTTCCAATTAGTTGACCTTTAAACCACCTGAAGGTGGCTTGTCGTTTGGGTATTGTGTCTTGTGGGATCTGAGGGATCAGTAGGCTACCACGCTGAGGTTTAATTTGAACAATATTAGCACCAAACATCTTAGTACTTTTACGACGCTGGATCATGCTTGAAGTCTTGTCGCCCTTCTGTGGAGCAACAGTTGCCGAAGTGTAACGCTTGTTTGCTTCGTGGGCTCCTCTAGCCACTTCACGAATCGACTTCATTCGGCCCAAGCCGCCAGAGCGACGAATGTTGCGCTGCGCAACACTCTGCATAGAGCCCGGTCTTTCGAGTGCTTTTAGGGTCGATTCGTCTGATCCGAGCGTGTCTCCGTCACCATACATGCTCGTTCTAGGCGTAGAAAGCATAGAAGATCCGGCAACTGATAGAGAAGACATTGAAGGAGTCGTAGTTGTAGCTGAATCCACTGTATCTTGTTCTGCAATAGGAGAAACTGGCGGGGACCCACCAACACCTTCGTCCATCACTGGTTCATCTACATTGAGATTGGGAAAGAAGTCTTCTAGATTGAGGAGAATGTTCTCTTCAGGAGGTCTGGGAGCCCAGGTATCGGTTCGAGCAAAAGATCGTCTCCGGAGTACTTTTGCTTGTTTCTCTTCTTCGGTTTCTTCAATGGTCCGCTCGTTTTCATCTCTACGCTGATTGTCAAAATCAGGGAATTTTGGAAGGCTGGATGAGGATGAGCTGTCCTGTTGAGGTGAGCCCCAAGACACGGAAAGGCCCTTTTTGGCCCTTGAGGTTTTGACAGTCAAACTTGGCCGCTTGGAAATGCCAGAAGAGTCATCTCCACTAACTCCCTCCTTAGCTTTCTGCGTCTTTTGTATTGGTATACTAAATAGACCAGAATCTGAATCCGAGTCTGAATCTTCTTGCTCTACTTGCTGGGGAGGTTCATCGAACACCACGCTTGCTTCGGTGAAATCAAGGTTTGGACCGTAAGATTTCCGATTTCCAGGCGTGGTAAGCTCCGACATATGAGCACTATTCGGACTAATGGCAGGGGGGGAAGGACCTCTTCGTATTCTTCTCCTTCATTCTGGCTATCGCAGCGTTGCTGGAATCTTTCAAAGACGTAGCGATGCTCGCCGATAAGCTTTCTTCTTCACCAGCATAATCGGGAATGATGAATGATGTATCACCTCTGCCCCAAGTAACGCTACCTGGAGTCCCACTCGATTTGGGACTGCTTCTGCCAGATCCAGTGTTTCCATGATCCCTGTCGACATGGCATTTTTTGCCATAATTCTCAGACGTATTGATTGGAGGCGATTTTTGGCCGGTTACACGGTACTTGTTGGATGCCCTATTGATGAAAAGCCTTTACCCATAACGAACAGGGCAGCGCCAATACCTCCTGGATGGACAGGTGAGGCGGGGACTGGCTTCCGTTTAGTGCTAGAACTTTCACTCGAGTCGTCTTTAGATGAACGTTTGCCTTCGCTTTCGACGCTTTCATATGATAGACGAGCTTGGTTACCAGACTTTTTGCTCAAGGAGTTGGCTTGGATCAAAGTAGCTGACTCTCCAGGGATTGGCGGAGCTTTTCTTTGAGGGAAGAGATTATCCGGCTTCTTATCTTCAAAAGGCGAGAGTCTCGGTTGATCGAAATCAACATTGCGACCAACAATACCCAAAGCACCATCCGCGGAGGTTGGTGTACCTTTGTTTGCTTTCTTTTTTGCCAGATATTCTTTTTGTCTTCGGTCCATCTCAGCTTTATGTTCTGCTGATGCCATTGCTATGAACGCTTGTCTATCTGCTTCTGGTATTTCTCTCTCTCCTAAATGCGATGCTCTGTACGCCATTAGGCGCTCACGGAGTGCATCTGGTGTTTCAGTTGTAGGTGCAGGCTTGTCTTTCTGAGGTGCAGTATCCCCCTTGATCGTATTTTGGCGTGATGTAGGTGGTGATGAGCTGGATCGTCTTCTGCTTCCATTTAGAAGGGCATAAGCCTCTTCATCGAGAGGCGCAGTTGGGGGTAAAATAGGAGAAAGTCCACTCAGTTTCGTAGTAAAGTTCATGCCGTGACCTGCGGATTGCGAGGCAGGCAGTGATTAGTGCAGAGTTTGTTGCTCCTCTAACGAAGAATTTGAGGTTACCAGACTGATCGGCTTTGTGCCTTTTGCAAAACAGAAGTTTATTATCATCCAATGCTTCTTCGTGCTCCATCTTACCTAGCTCCGTAAGATAAAAATGTGTAAATTCTGAGTCAAGAACGCCTAAATTAGAACATATCGTAGCCTTGAGATCTTGCGCATTATCGATTTCAGTGACATCACACAGACGAAAATTCCACCCGTCGGTAGTAGCCAAGACAAAGCTCCTCCCTGTAGCTCGCACGCCGCGATATCCCTTTCCATGCGCGAATTTATCATATTCTGACGCGGAGAATGTGGACAAAGGTCGGTCCAATGAAGTTTCGCTAGAGTTGCTAATCCTGCCATTGCCCAAGAAAGGTGCAGCTTTAAAGCCAAGAGATGGGCTAGTAGGGGAATCAAGATTCTGGTCGTCGGGCGATGGGGCTAGGCCGTCTTCTTTTCCTCGTCGCTTTTTCCCTTTAAAGTGACTGAGAAACCCTCTCGATTCTTTTGCGGATGTGGGTTGTTCCGAGCTTGCGGAACGCTCGCCATCCAAGGGAGAAGGACGTGATACATCAACACCATGTCTTCGAGTTTCTTGGTTTCTTACGAGGCCGACTTCGCCTACAGCCCCTCCCATTCCACCTCTAAGTGCTTGGCTAGCACCTGGTGGCACTCCAGATCCGTAAATTGCCTGGCTAGAAGATATGGAGTCGGTGCTATTGCTTGATCGGTGGCCAAATACAGCACTACGAGGCGAAGCTGATAGATTTTGCCCTACCGGTGTGTGAAGCGTTGCGAATGTCCCAGCAGGACTACCGCTCTTCGGACTCCCATCCAGGCGCAGAGGTTGCGGCTTGAAACTTCCTTCGTTGACTTCATTACTGGCGCTTGGACTATGACGCCGGGCGCCATCACTATCAATATTTTTCAAAACACTTCGATGAGAATTTCGGATATTATTAAAATCGCTTTCTTCTGCGGTATTAATGTTGCTCAAAATAGGCATAGTAGTACTTCTTCCTGAATGCCTTCTCGTTCCAACAACTTGCCCAGAACTTGTCGACATTTGTTTTCCAGGACTATTATCATCGTCGTTGGCTGTGTTTGGCGTAGATATGGAAGCTCCGTTTCCACGGCCATGATGAGAAAAACTATCTAGACTGCTCTCTGTACTGGGCCTTGTGATAAGGTTAGCAGCGGATGACTGCCGCCGAATTTGTGACGACTTGGTACTTTCTAGACTTTTCCCAGTCACAATAGCCTTAATCAGACGTCGCATTCTTTTCCCTTCTTCGCGCTCCCTAGCTTGATCCCAGCCAGTTCCACTACTGGAGCACTCTTTTGCTAGCCGTGGATATACTTGCTGGTGCATCATCCCAAAGTTACCTCTACCACCATGAACACTGCCAAGTTCGAGGAATACGGAGCCATATATATTCAACGCTCTAAAAGTTTCCTGCCAATCATTAGAAAAGTGATTATTAGCCAGCCACAACAAAACGCGATTCATGGACCATTGAGAACCCGCATCGTTCGGTGAGATTGGCGTGTTCGAATTATTGCCGGACGCATGTTGATGTGAATTGTTTGACGTTGCTGTCAAGCCTCTATTGGTGGCCGAAGACAATTGTGGATTCGTTATAGTTGCTGTAGGGGGGCCTGGGGAATCATACTCTGGGAGATGAATGTTATTGAACCGTTGAGGTGTCTGAGACGGATATGATCGATCCTTGTAATAATTACTGTCATCTAATGGTGTTCCTCTTGAGCTGTCCGATATAGCAGAAAAGTCCGCACTATCCCTATAGTTCTCTTGACTGCTCCATCCCAAGCCAGGTATCCCAACACCAGGTCCAAATGATTCCCCGCGCGGTATATATGTTGCTGACATCTGCTCACTATTCGATTGAGACTGACCTATCGATAACGGCGCAGGTTGATGGTGCTGGCCAGGATTGTAGGCGTGGTATTGACTTGTGTTTGGAGGATTAGCCGGTGGCCCAGGGAATGGTCTATTATTGTTAACCAGCCAAGTTTGCTGTGGCTGCTGCCAATTATTCGAAACTATAGGTGGAGGTGGAGGTATGTTGTTTCGAGGCGGTGGTGGAGGTATATTGTTCAAGTTCAGCTGGTTCATATGCGGTTGAGATGGCGGGGACATGGGAGGTGGTGGAGGGAGTCCATATTGCCTTTGGTCGCCGGCCGACTGATATCTTCCTGGCTGATACGACATTGAAATTTCCGAGCCAGATCGCGTAGAATGTCGAGAATGGGTAGCAGGCGAATATTGAGAAGGGGGTTGCGGGTTGGTCGCCGCAGAATGAGCTCTGGGTCGCGATGGGAGCTCGATGCAACAATTGTAGGATATGATGAACCTGTTCCGTAGGCGGTAGGAATAAGTAGACTTGCAGAGCTACTCACTGCGTAAGTTGGAACGTTGTTGAGAAGTAAATTACTTTCAGGGATTGTAAGCTCGTTATTCGAAGGTTTGTTTCGAGGTGAGGCCTGCACAGCACGACTTGAGTCTAAAAAGCTTGTATTTGATCTTGTGGAAGAGCTTTGGGGGCGCTGGTTCATGGTCGCCTGCGCATATTTAGATCAATTTGGGCGAGTCCAAAGAATATTGGAAAATCGCAATGCTGGCCTTTGTTTGGAATGTAGAAATCTCGCAAAGATAACCAACCAAGGTATGACGGGTATAGGCGCTGAGAGATTGTCGCAAATCCGAGGACTAGATTTCTTATACTGTGTATGTGTAATCTTATGAAAGAAAGGGTAGAAGTAGATCAAATTGAAGCCAAAAAGAAAAGATTAAATTTCAAGTAAATAATTTGTGTAGATAGGTTGAATAATTATTTTTCAAGGGTTTTTAGGAGCAAAGGCATATTATCAATATCTCTCTTTACCTACTAGGTAGTAGTATTGTACATGGCATGGCATGGCATGGCATAACATAACATGGGGGGAATTTTGTAAACAAGGCTAAAGATTTCGAACTCCCTAGTCTGCTCGTAGGGAATAGAAAGAAGGAAGGATTAAGTACCGGACAATCATTCCAGTCACCCCCGCTTATGTTTTTTTATCATTATCAGCAAAAATTGATTTGCTTCAGCCAACATCTTGGTTTTCCCTATGTTTCAAAATTGCAGGGCAACGGGGCAACAGGGCAACAGAGCAGGGCACCTTTGTATTGTGAGAGGCATCGAGGTGGGTAGGGTATATTGAACAAGTCACCCCATATATCTAGACATACCTACCAGCACGTACGGCATCTGATCTACCCAGTACTCATATACTCGAGAGTATCAACAAAAGATATGAGTAACACCTAAGATTCCATTGGGAAGCGATGTCCCTTCTCAGCCTTTCTTACACATTCCAAGGTTGGGTACGATGTACTATTTCCCATTCGGATAGCCTGCCTCCACGGCAGTGGCTCCCGGAGGGCCAGCGGAGCGTCAATCAATTGATCAAAATTAAGTATGCATGGGTTTCCATCAAATAGTATAACTATCCATAGGTGAGCTGTAAGGTCGTTTCCGACTCTACCTCCTATTCACCAACGAAAATGTGTGTGGGACCAAAAAAGGCACAGAAGGTGCAGCTTACTTCCTATTCGCACATCAACTTACGAGGACCTGGTTAAAGGAGTTCGTTCATACTTCGTACACTGATCATTATTAAGCAAACGACAAACTACAAACTTCAAAATGTTGCCGGATTACGGTTATCTATCCCATTCGCATTTCCGTTCTTCAACAGCATGATGTTACCGGTACGAAATAGCAACTGGGTAATTTATACACAGAGTAGACAGTCTGCATGCAGCAAGACGAAAACCCAGGACACCATGAAAATCTATTCTTTAATATTCGATATCAAATTAGACAATCATTATTTATATTTGATGTTACATTAAAACGTTTACAAGCTCCCGATCCATTGATAATCTACAATATCAAGCATGGAGAGATAGAGACGGCGAACTAACCGACGGCGGAACTTGCGAAATCCTCATGGAACGATCGGTTTCCAAATCAAGGTATGAAATAGCAGGATGCAGTTGATGCCATTAACAGCACACTAAAATCTTTAGTATGAAGTATACCATCTAGTCCATGATGACCATCTCGAGCCTCGAGCTATCTATCCACTTTTCTCCTGTACATCGTAATTGAGTTTCCACTCTCATGCAGTCAATACGTCGTATCATTTGTTCCTCACATACCACCTGGGTGATCATACTCTGTCATACCAAACCTCTTTCTATATAAACCGACAAATTGAATTTCTTAACTTCTTTACCTTGATACTCGTATCTTCCATCAGACCACTTTTCAACAACCTTATTCCATTGACATCGGAATCATCCAGTCGTTGACAACCAACATTCAAGATACGGATCTCATTGTTCTATGAGTAGATCTGTATGGATGAAATAAATGTGTGGCTTACTTAATAAGCCCATGATGGCCCGGGGAGTTAAAATCATGCTTTGCCGTTGTAGCTTCCAGTCTCGAAAGAGCTCACCCAAGCAAAACGTCATTTTTGGTGGGGTGATTTGATGGATGATGGGTGATATCGGTATCGACGGCAGAAACGGCTGTCCAAAGCCAGAGACAAACTATTATAAAGACTAAGGAGTTTCTTTCCGGTTTCGTATTTAATTTCTGAATCCCATTGCTTTCTCATCTATTTAATTATTCTTCATCCACCATTCAACGAGAACAAGTTAAACATTTAAACCTCCATACATCTCACAAGTACTACTTCTAACAACCCCGCCATTATCACTCACCATGGTGGATCTCAGGACTGAATCTCTCAAATCCCCAGTGGATATTGCTGAGTATCTATTCACGAGATTGAAGCAAATTGGAATCGATTCTATTCATGGCTTGCCAGGAGATTACAATTTGGTTGCTCTTGACTACATTCCTAAGCTTGGATTGAAATGGGTTGGCAATTGCAACGAGTTGAATGCAGGTTAGTTTTCCTCTATCAGCCAATGTTTCATATCTAACGTTAACTTTATAAAGGATATGCTGCCGATGGCTATGCTCGTGTGAAAGGAATTTCAGCAATCATGACTACCTTTGGCGTGGGAGAGCTCTCAGCGATCAATGCCATGGCTGGTGCATACTCCGAACGAGTCCCTATTGTCCACATAGTCGGCACCCCTTCAACAATTTCGCAAAAGGATGGCATGCTTTTGCATCATACACTCGGAAACGGAAACTTTAATGTTTTCGCAGATATGTCAAAGGAGATCTCTTGCGCAATGGCCAAGATTAATGATCCTAACGAAGCGGCTGCCTTAATCGACCATACGCTGCAGCAATGCTGGATCCATAGCCAGCCGGTCTACATTACACTGCCAACAGATATGGTTCAGAAGAAGGTAGAAGGAGAACGCTTGAAGACACCTATTGACTTGTCTCTACCCTCAAACAACCCGGACAAAGAGGATTACGTCGTTGATGTAGTTCTCAAGTATCTTGAGGCCGCCAAAAGCCCTATCATCCTTGTTGATGCATGCGCTATTAGACACAGAGTCATCCCAGAGGTGCACGGATTGATAGAAAAGACTGGCTTGCCTGTCTTTGTCACTCCAATGGGCAAGGGTGCCGTCGACGAGACCTACGAAAACTATGGAGGTGTCTACGCGGGAAGTGGTAGTCAGCCAGATGTTAAAGAACGAGTCGAGTCTTCGGACCTCATTTTGACGATTGGAGCCATCAAGAGTGACTTCAACACCGCCGGATTCTCCTATAAGACTTCTCAACTTAACACAATCGACTTCCACAGCACAACAATTGTCGTTCGTTATTCCGAATACCCAGGCGTTCATATGCGCGGGGTTTTGCAGAAGATTATCAAGAAAATCGACCTTCAAAAGCTTTCCGCCGTTCCAGGGCCCAAGATGGAAAACAAGGTTACCGCAAACGAAGATAGCTCAGATACCATCACTCAAGCATGGTTTTGGCCCAGGGCTGGCGAGTTCTTGAAGGAGAATGATATTGTCATTACCGAGACTGGAACAGCCAATTTCGGTATTTGGGAGACTAAATTTCCAAAGGGAGTTACAGCTCTCAGCCAGGTGTTGTGGGGCAGTATTGGGTACTCCGTTGGTGCTTGTCAAGGTGCTGCACTGGCCGCCAGAGATGCTGGAAATGACAGGAGAACCATTTTGTTTGTTGGTGATGGTAGTTTCCAGCTCACGGCTCAAGAAGTAAGTACAATGATCCGCCTTGGATTGAAACCTATCATGTAAGTTACGTTGCTTCCCCTTTCAACAGATTTTATGGCTAATAATCAATGAAGTTTTGTGATCTGCAATGATGGCTACACCATTGAGAGATTCATTCACGGCATGGAAGCAGGATACAACGATATTGTGACCTGGAACAACAAAGATCTGGTCCCAGCATTTGGTGCCAAAGAAGGCAAATACAAGCTTCACCAGATTAAGACCAAAGACCAAGTCAATGAGCTTTTCACGAATAAAGAGTTCAACTCTGCGGACTGTCTGCAGTTTGTGGAATTGTATATTCCAAAGGAGGATGCTCCAAGAGCGTTGGTCTTGACGGCTGAGGCGAGTGCTAAGAACAACGCAAAGGAGTAAAGAATATTTCGAGCTTCGAAATCAAAATTATTGGCGCATTGGAGGCGTATGGATCAGGTATCAGGTTAGGATAATGAAAATAATGAAATAATGAAATTCTTCTCTGCTGTATCCGTCAGAACAAGGAATTGTAATGCTTTGATTGCTGTGATTCCGTCGAATGAATACATCAAGGTAACCTTGGAATTGACTTAGAGGTTTGGTATACTGGATTGAAATCAAAAGAATATCATGGAATGTGATTGACTACAGAATATTTGAAACTTTCAACTTCGATATTGGAATGGAAATCTTGCTCTTCCATCTTCAAATTTCCCACCAATTCACAAATTATTGCTTACCCCAATGCGGCGAAGTGGGGTATTTTAGACTGTCTGACTAAGCGATATTTTTCATTTTGTTTGGGCGGCGTGATCTTCAATGCCGGACAAGTTTTAAAAACCACAACCAATTCACATCTTCTAACAAATCACAGAGGTAAGGTGGGATTGGAATCAAGACTGAGTCTGAGAGTACAGTTTGGTAGACGCGAGTTGAGCATATGGCGGAGTCAAATAATAAGAGGAAAGAAAGATCTGGGGGCGGCGGAAGAGATGCGAGAGATGGGGATAATAGAGGGGGGAAGAGAGCTAAGGTATGTGCTTTCCTTTTTTCTTTCTAAATTCATGGTGGGTTTATGTTTGGGGCGAACGCAGAAGGGGGGGGGAACTGAAGCAATTGGATATGAATTGGTGATTGTTTTGGCGGCAGTCGAGAAAGGAAACGAATTGAAGTCTTCGGATTAAGAGTGGTCCCTCGGCGAGATTGACTGCCAAGGGACCTATTCTATCAGATTTACTTGAAAGAAATTTTCAAATTCGTGATGGCTCCAAGACATGCAGACCAGAGCATGTTTTCTGTTTTCATCATCAATGAGATGTTGCAACTAAGTGGAAGAGGGCTTGGGCAGGCTGTCAGTTTTTGATTCAAGATTGCTGTAGTCCTTCAAATTGGTTCTCGCGCTCGACGATATATTCTTCAGTTTGACCTCATTTGCCTCTCCAAAATTCCTGACTTCTTATGCAGGGTGGTTCAAATGGCAAATGGCAAACTCCACATCAGCAAACCAAAATGGCGTCTAAGAGTGGTGGGAAGATAGACCCAGGTGACCAAGGGATTTGGGCAACGTGCGTGAAGGGCAAAGAAGGAAAGGCGACAGAGGAGCTGAGGAGTCTACTCGAGGAGGTTGGTTATCAAGTTTTAGTCCCAGACTTCTACCGGTTTATGCTAAATTGCAATTAGTCTGCTGAGAAGTACTACGGTATATCCGTGAAGTCAAGCAACGAAAAGGGGGATGAGGAAGACGAAGACGCTACCGAATCAGTCGATGATATCGAAGCATCCATTCGAAAAGAAGTTGCAGCGCATAAAGATCCCGCAGAGAAGCTTTTCTCAGCAATTTACCTAGATATTCAGTGCGTGCTGTTTTTCAAAACACGATCGCCAATAGACCCAGCCGATCTCGTCCACAGGATGTGTGAAGATGCAGCATCGGGCGGGGTGAGAAAATTGAGGTTTGTAAATCGTCTAACTCCAATGTCAATTATTGGGAAAGCAACAGAAAAAGGCATCGAAGAAGTCGGACAAGCCGTGCTAGGTGCTCATTTACGACTTGCTGGACAAACCGCAAAATCAGAAGAAGTTGCTGCATACTCGGTACGTATTCCTATTTTGCGTATAGTGCTGCCACGACATTGAAGTTCTAGCCTCGAAGTTTGATTAGATTGTTTGACTTTTGGGTCAACATTCATTAACCGCATTGCAGTATGCTATTCGACCCACGATACGCAATCATAGCACATTAAAGCGGGATGCCGTGATTAAACAGGTCGCATCTCTGGTGGATGACAGTCATAAAGTCAATCTCACTAAGCCAGACAAAGTGATAATAATCGAGATTTACCAGGTAACAGATGCAAACCCACAAATGCAGAGATCAACATGCTAACTTGCATTGGCTAGACTATCTGTGGTATGAGTGTCGTTGGAGATGACTGGGAAAAGCTTAAGCGCTATAACCTTTACGAGCTCCAGTCACCTTCAGCGAGTTTAAAATCTGGGGGACTAGCAGATGCCAAAGCAAGAGCTACGCCCGAAAACGTAATTACAGACGAGACTCGGGCTCTACCCGAGGAATCAAACGGCAGTTAATTGTTTTAGATTACTAGCATGACCTTGTATCACCTATGCCAGTTACCATTTTCCAGAGATGAGATGTGGAAATGTTCCTCGTGACGGGAAGGATGCAATATATCAAAATCGGGCATTGGAATACTTGCGCATATCTCATACCAATCGATCTGCACAGGCGCTTAGATCAGCTTACCTTACTCATAAATCTTATCATATCATTTCATGTCATGTCGCATTCAAGTTCCTCAACAAACCCGTATCTAAAATCCCACCCTTTCATTGCAGGCGATAATGGTGCATATCCGGCTTCTAGGGCTTCTCGAGGCACAAGTTTGACCGCTACATTTACAGCTTCTCAAGACTTTGATCCATGTGAATGTACCTAGATATTACCCTTGAAGCCTAGAAGAGTGAAAAAACGTGGACTGTGGGGAATTTTGCATCTGGAAAACTAATATCCATGATCTTGATCTTGATCGAATCATCGACATACTTCAAGCGTCACTCCATACTGCATGTGCATAATGCATATTACAAGTCGATGTAAAGTACATAGTGATCACAATATTGCATTATCTAATATGTCACCAAGGCCCAGCTGAACTGAGTTCTCTCTCCCGCATAAAATACAACGGCGCCTTATCTACAACTAGAATTCTTTGTGTGATGATATGCAGATAGCTCGAAACTAACTGTACCTTTCCATCTTTAATGACACAAGCAATGCCTACACGTGTGAAATATTTTGCAAGTTTTCCCAAAACTTCAGAAGTGTTTGTACTAAACACGCGTACATGGTGTATGCAACCTCGCTACTACTGGGCGCTCCATCGGGGTTACATGGTTTCGCACTCGGGCCAGTACTGAAATGGGAGCGGCTAACCTGATCGGCTGAAATTAAACGAGGGTGGAACTGATTGATCCGAGGAATTTTTTTGGGATGAGAACGGTGAAATGAGTTAGTTATTAGTATTTGAGATTGAGATTTGGGGTGTGGTAGTAGATTGGTGATCTGGAAAGGTTGAGATGGCTATATTGATGGGAATAGGAATAGAATGAATACTCGAACATCAGATGAAAATACCTGGGGCTCCTCCAACGAGGTGGTGGCTTTCTTTCTTCTCAGCATGCATCACACTCCGTTCGAAAGTACGTACCTGGGTATGTCACCAGATTCATATGGCTACAGTTCTCTCGTAAATCAACGTGCATTCATTTTCCCAGTACCACACGTGTTTAATATATTCTTCCTTCTCGTCGGAACAGATGATTAGAGGTGGAGTGTTAGGACGATATGTCCTAAGTCCATATTTCAACACGGAAAGATCTGTTTCTAGTGTTGGAACCCATATCCACTTCAGCTCCATTGAAGGATTTCATGCTCAAGAGATTTTTTTCTTCTTCTCCAATTTCCTTCGCCGATCCCCCATTTCGTTCCTGTGCTGCAGCATGTGTTGAGTGCAGCTCTCAGAATTGTCGGGATTTCAGATTTATGCGTTCAATGCATGAGTCCGTATTGGAAACGTCTTAACACTTTTGCAGCATCACTCAGTGGTATGTATGTAGTGTATAGGTGTAGTAGGTATATGTATGTGCATCAGTAGTAGATGTAACTCGCAATCGCACTCGTAACCGATACAAAGTCGATATCAAGAACTGATGAACAGGCAAAAGATATGTATGGATGGGATGGCTGACCAAATAATCCCATACAACCTACACCTTCCCGATGTAAAAGCTCGCTTATTCCCAACCAATCGTAGAATTTAAATCGTACTTCCCCCCTTGTCTATATAACACAACCCAAGGGAAAGGGATGGATTACCATGGATAGTGTGGATGTACCTTTTGATGTTACCTCAGGCTTAACATACCCCCACCAATTTAATCAATTCAAATTCCACTTCCAGCCACTACACTTACAACCACAAATACCAATCAATATCAACCACTCAAGAAAAATACGACATCTAATCCGTTCTTCCTTCGTTCATGCCCGAACTGCATTTACCATCTTTACTTCCGCATCTACATCTACATCTACATCTACAGCCCTCGGTATCTTCTTGCATCAATGCCAATGTCTCGGGGACCAAAGTTCTCAACATCAACATAATCTCTAATCTCGACTCTCGACAATCCCGTAATTGGATCGATGATAATACATAGACCGGGATATTGAAGATCTTGTTACCCATTATGATCTAGTTCTCTAACTTTTACCTACATCGAACACCCCGTACCTGAAGTCTCCACATCTTGCCAACCAAGCTTCCAAATTCCAACACTAGACACGATTGTTATTCCATGGCGGGAGCTATCTAAGAAAAGACCTCCTATACACGCCTCAAGCGCACTCCACTAATTTTCTAGATTCCATTTTATCTTGTCACCATACATGAATGATTCTCAAAAATTGCCTTTCTAGTACAAGTTCCATGTCCCGGAGAAGTTCTCCCCCAATATTCCAGAATCCAGAATCGTTCAAAACAACGCCTTAATCTCACCTCCAATCGGTTGTCTAAACCTTTTTCGTCCAAATCTCCGTTTCTCGTTAGAAAAGTGACATCCATCTTTCGCTTCGAGAATTACTTTATATCTATTTCTTCGTCGATAGACCTACAGAGTACTAGCTATACAACGACAAAACAGATACCCGATACAGCTCAAGTCTATCAATCATCCACAGTTATCCACAATCAATCCTGTCGCCGATAAGATTCCAAGAACTTCGTGTTTTATTCCACTTACCCATTTCAAAGAACTATCCATTATTAGGAAATTACCCAATTCACGTTCTCTTACCCGCAGAACACTTCAGGGTTCTCAAGGAGGTGGCTGCCTTGCATCTCTTCGCAGGCACCAATATTTTGTTGAGTACCACCTCAAGGCAACCAATACCCAAACACCAAAGAGCACGAGCATTACTTTTACAACTGTACATCAATACTTCGATGCAGAACAATATTTCTACCTAATCACATAGTTTGGGTGTTGTGCGTCCCTTCCACCGCCGATCTTCCAAAGATCTAATTTCCAGTATTGTGGAGCTCAAAGGAGCCAGTTGCCACGGACTTCATCACTGCAATTGGACCAATCGAAACACACTATAAGCGAATTGACGAGATCAGAGTGCCGCCAAATATTCCTGGCCAACCTTATACATATCATATTAAGGTAAAAGCCAGGCAAGGCTATTATCCGAGTCAGTAAGCAACCGAGAACAGCTACTGCCAGATTACAGCAACACGGCATACACATCATATCCCTATCAATTTGCTCACCCTCATCCTCAGGCTGATCGAACCCACTGACTCCACTTTATCCCAAAACCATACATATCCACATCTCACCCTCATATCTGAATACAACCTCACTGCTCATAATGGCTTCGTACAAGACTGCCGTCCCTGGCAAGTCCTTCAAGACGTCGCTTATGTACTCGGTCCCAGTACGACGTCTTAAGGAGATACTTAGCCATGTGGTACCGGATATGAAACTAGGAAGTGTCGAAGAATTACCCTCTACCCAACTACCCAGACTATACACGCTCAACATGTCGAATGACAACAAGCTTCTCCTATCCTTTGCGCCCAGTTTAGCAGTTCGTCTCTTGAGACACGAGACCACGCTTCAGTACTCTGAAGCAACCCTCGTACATTTCCTCGATACATCATGCCAAAAAGTCAATGGCATGGAAGACGTAGAACATGATTTAGCATCCATCAAACTAGAAGACGTGATACCGAAAATGCTCAAGCATTCATCCAATAACCGAGAGATGGCATTACCATACACAATATTCGAACCGACAGCCGGTAAAACACTTTCTGCACTCTCAGTATACCTCAGTCTACCCAACCGGCGCCTCATCGACAAACAAGTCGGATCTCTAACTCGAAGCTTAGCTTCCCTCACATCACCCAACGGCACATTTGGTACAGCAGCTCGAGTCCTCCCGGATCCCTTCAAACAATCGCCCCCTTCAGCCCCGTTAGGCTCAGGCTCCCCAACATGGTCAGAAGCTTTCAATACATTACTTGAATCAATTCTACGCGATGGAGAAGATATGGCCGTCTTACTTCCATACGATGTAGTGCGATCACACTACCAACGTCTATCTTGGCGCATGGACGCCGTCAAACTTCCTAGATTGGTACTACTGGATCTGGGCGAGCGGAACGTAATGATCGAGAATGGAATCAAAGAAGGCAGTTCGCACATCCCGACTGAAAGTCTCAAATTGACAGGGCTGCGAAACTGGAGTCAGGGTGTCTTCGGAGATCCATTACTCTCAAATGTTTTCGAAAATCCTAGTGAAGGATTCATGGAAGGCTGGAAGGCAGGTGACGAAGATGATCTCATCGAGGACACAGGAAATGCAGAAGTACGATTGTTGCTCTACCGCTGCTACAGAGCTGTACTGGGAATAGTGACAGAATACTACCGACCCCAAAACGACAGCAGTAGACGCGAGTTAGAAAACCGGAGGAATTTAACCGCTGCTTTATCAGAACTGGAAAAAGTGGATGTTGCAGTCAATGATATGCTCAAGAGAGCGCGAAGCCTGAGTTCGTCTGTAGCCCCGGAGGCGGAGAGTTCCAAGAGGCAAAAAATTGGTATCGAGGATTTGGTGGATGAAAATTGAGGCATACCAGCGAATTTTTGATGTAGTTAGTGATACCCAAGCAATAGTCAAATATCTTATAATTTTTGTTCGATCTTTATTCAGGTCTCTTTCCACGACTTCTCCCTTCGTCATCTTCGTCGCGAGGTAGTTTCATACCCATCATACCTAGTAGATTGCCCCCGGGCCCAGCCATGCCTCCTTGATTCTTGAAACTCTCTAATAGGTTTTTCGCCAGATTAAAATCGATATCCAATTCCTCATCGCTTTCTTCCTCTTCCTCGTCCTCCTCATCTACTTTTGCTCGTTGCTTCCCTTTTCTAGTGCCCATCCCCTTTCCGGCGAGGGTAGCAATCTTGCTTGGGGTTGGATCTAAATTGAGCGCTCCAGCTTCGTTCAACTCTGCTTCCATCCTCTTCATCACTTTTTGTATCTCCTCCATCTCATCGTCCTCTTCATCCTCATCATCACTATCGATTTCTTCAACCCTGCGGGAATTTCCTGGCCTAGATCGAGATGCAGGCTGATCTATGTCATCCGTTGGCATACCCATCATCTCTCTCATCATCTTTGCAAATTCCACTTCATCAAAGCTAACATCTTTATCCTCCTCGCTGTCTTCATCATCATCGTCGTCGTCTTCGTCGTCTTCGTCGTCATCGACATCCATCTCATCCATTTCAGCACCGTCAGGACCGGCATCATCGTCGTTTAGGAAAGCTTCGAATCGTTCCACCATTTTCTTTAAATCAGCTTCAGTCTTTGCATCACCAAATCCTGACGGGGGTTCCGGTCCAAAAGCTCCAGGTATCCCAGCCGACTTCTTGTCCTTGTTCTTTCCATCTAGCTCTCTCTCGAAGTCCTCGAAATTGATGTCGAGCCATTTCTCATCGTCTTCTCTCATATTGTCCTTCCACGTCAGAATCTCGCCATCGTTAGGAAGATTGGAAGCATCTTCCTCGAGATCCTCTAGAAGTATATTAATCTCTCTAACGGATCGATGATCGGCATTTTTCGGATCTGTAACTAGCATTTCGAATCCTGAGGTGATCTTCATTCCCATTTCCAGTCGTGTAAAGTCATCCAATCCTGCGCCGTTCTTTGGCGGTGTTAAAACATCCTTCCATGCAATAGGGGCAGAAAATTGTTGCGATTTCAGTTGTGCATAGAGAACTTTTGTAAATCGGGTTGAGACGATGACTAAATCCTTTGGAGGAAATGTAAGTTTAGATGAGAGGGACTGAAGAGGCTTGAGTGCAATTGGATCGCGAAGATAAAACGCTTCGACTGCCGGGGCTATAGCGGTTGGGCGAAGATGTAGTATGTAAGCAACTTTCCGCGGTACTGTGATGCGAGCATGATGAAGGGATGCTGTGATTTGGGCCGGATAATTTCGCAAACGATAAAATGCCTCTTCTTCGATCATGGGTGAGTGTATGAGTATTTCTGGGGTCGAGGATATGGTTTTGCGGGCTTCTTCTAAGGTAAGTGATCGAGATATTGGGGCAGTTGGGGTTTTAGTTGAGGAATCAGTGATTGCACGCAATGGTATAATGTGAAGAGCATTATTATGAATCCATACCTGCTGGGTGTCAGAACTTGCTCCTTACTTTATGTGAACGAGAATACCCACCCTGTTATCTGCGATTTCAGGATTCAACCATCTTGGTAGAGCATTTGCAGCTTCAATCAGTAGAAACTCGCCATCGGAGTCCACAACTTTGATCCATAATGTGGGAAATCGACTGCTCAATTCTTTAAGTATATACACAATAAGCCATTCGTCTTCGACCGAATCTCCATAATTTGTAATCCCGTTAAGATACATTGAGCCTGTCACATCGTTAATCATTTGACGCATGCCAATATATTGTGGATATCGTACCTTTCTCATTCTTCGTTTCCAGCTTAAAGCCATCCCGTTGCCATATATAGTCTTTAGTAAGATCCTTCAGAAGTTTCAAAGACTCTTTCCGCACATCCTCTAACTTGCTGAGTAAATCCTTTTGTGATTTTAACTTGGAGTCAATGATGTAAAGTGAGTATTCCACACAATCATCGGGAAGTCTTTTAGGGAATCCATTGAAACCTTCATCGAATCCCTTAAAATCATCATCGAGCCCATCCATATTAGCAATATTCGTAATTACAGAAGCTTCGATATTTCAGAAAGCCGACGGTGTTGACCAGAGACTTTCGAAGTTTGATGAGGCTGAACATTCGGTATGATCGTTTAATATCATTGGCACAATAAAAGAGCCGTGCGAGGTGTTTGTTTTGGCAACCCGGCGCTAACCTCTATTGGAAAGAACGTAAACAATCGAGACCATCGCGTATCTATCTATTGATATCATTTCAGAAAACTTCAATTCTTCCCACGCGTCCCCAAAAACCACAATTTCGGCTTATTCTTTTACAAATGCACTTTGAGTAAAGACATTGCCTTTGGTTTGGGGTCAATCGCTATGGTCGCTATTCTTACATCTTTTTCACAGTAAATTATAAAGGGTTTTCTTACATTAATTTGAGTTTCAAAGCTCACAACAATTTTCATAATGGTGCAAGCCGGAATAGCAGGGCTTGATACACCACGAACGGCTCTTGGAGATGCTACTTATCTAGGTAGTCATGCCCTCGACTTCGATATTTCACAAGAACAGTCTTTCCAGTCGCCGTCAAAAGACAACAACCTAGTTTCGCAGATGCAAAATGGCCGCCGTGGTGTCAACATTCGCACTCCCAGAAGTCGCACTACCCTTGGGGACAGACGAAATTTGCCAGCGGGGCTTGGGGGAGGAGAGTTCACACCTCTACTGAAGAATGCGACGATGAATAGCACTCGTCGAAATAACAAAGAGAACGTTCAGGCAACACCAGCATTTCTTCGGGCGGGTGGATTGGACAAAATTCAGGAAGGTTTCGGCCCATTACCTGCTGGATCAGCATACGGGGACGATTCAACAAGAACGGGTTCCTTTATGGCTGGTACTCCAATGCCGCATATCGACAGTAGTACAGCCTCGACGCCGGCAGCTTTACTGCCCCGGCGAAACGAGGGGCCTGGGGTTCTACAAGATGGAAACCAATTGTCACTACGCGAGCAAGAAAACGTCATTGACAGAATTGAGAAGGAAAACTTCGGACTAAAACTTAAGATCCATTTCCTGGAAGAGGCCTTGAGAAAGGCAGGGCCGGGATTCAGTGAAGCTGCACTAAAAGAAAACACTGAGCTTAAAGTTGACAAAGTTACCATGCAAAGGGAGTTACAAAAATTCCGAAAGACATTGACTGCAGCCGAAAAGGATGTCGAGCAATATCGACAACAGATTCTGGATATGCAGGAGAAGTTTAAGAGGAGGCATGTGAGTGCCGGGCAACAGGAAGAGCTAGATAATTTGCGGCAAGTTTTGGAGGAGAAGGAAGATGAATTAAACCGAGTGCGAAGCCAGGAAGACAAGTACGCCGATATGGAGAACAAAATCGACGATTTGGAAGCAGACCTACGCGAAAAGGATCGGCTCATTAATGACAGGGAAGACGATATTGACAATTTGAAGGATGATGTTCAGAAACATGTTGGAACTATCTCTAACTTAGAAACAGCCCTGAAGAAATCGCAACGCCGAGCGATAGAGTTGGAAGAGAAAGCAACGGGACAATCCAATGAAGAGCTCAAAGAGGCCGAGTCATTGATTAAGGAATTAGAGCATGATGTAGAACGCCTGAGAATCGAAGCCGAAGAAGCTAAAGAGGATCACCAAGAAGCCATTCGAGATAAAGAACGTGCCGAAGCCAATCTAGAAGAACTTCAGGATGAGCTAGCCAACAAGTCCATCACAACTAAAGGCTTGAGTCGCCAGATTGAAGAGAAGGCCAACCGTTTACAAGACGAACTGGAAGATCTTCGAGAACGACACCAAAACTTGGAGCAGCAGCATGCCGAAAAAACACGTGAAGTCAAAAAATGGCAAGAGAAACTGGAGGACTTGAAACGTGACAGTGAAGCGAAGGAGCAGAGTCTTCATGATAAAATTGACTTAGTTGAAAATGACTTGGATCAGACTATTCGTGAGCGAAAAGCTCTTGCTACTCGACTCGAAAGTCTGCAAGGATTACAGAGAGATTTCCAACAGAGGAATGATGAGAAGAATCTCCTCCAGGGCCGACATGACGCTCTGACAGCTGAATCTGCTAGTCTACAAGCAGATTTGGCTCAGGCTAAAGCTTTAATCGAGGATCTCGAAGATAAATTGTCACATGAGAAGAGTTTGGCACTTGGTAACGAACGTGACGTGCGGGATCAATACACAGAAGAGATAGGACGCCTTGGTCATGAAGTTGAGGACCTCAAAGCAGAAATCCGGGAGAAAGAACGCCTATACGATGAAGACATTGAGAACTGGGAGACCGAAAAACGCAATCTTGAAACCCAACGAGCCCGTGCCGAAGAACAGGCGGCAAGCCTCCAGAAAACCATCGATCGACTTCAACAGACCGAAGGTTCTTTATCTGGGAGAGAGTCGAAACTTCGAGAGGCTATGCGCAGCGAGAAAGAGAGGCACGAGAGTCAAGAAGCTCTTCTTACACGCCAGATAAACGAGTTGAACGAAGATGTTCAAGATCGTCGCAAAGCATTGGAAGAGTCAAGATCCGAACTAGCTAGTGTTCGAGAAGAGCTTAGACTCAGCCAGCGTGCGCAAAGATCCTTGGCTGAAAAGATTGAGGGTCTGGAGGATGAAGTTGAGATTCTGCAGACCAGTCTTGACGAGGAAACCGATCAAGCCAATCAAGATGTTAGTGCTGCCAGACACGAATCTGACAGTCTTCGAAGACAGTTACAGACTCTTAAGCAAGATCTTGCGAAAGCAGAAGCCGCAGCCACCAGTGCAAGAGCAGAACTGGAGGTATTCCATAGCGACTTCCAAGCTGATCAAGGATCGAAAGAGAGTTTGAACAAGCTGTTACAGAATCACGAGGCCCAGCTGTCAAAGGTGCGATTGGAGAAACAGAACTTGCAAGACCAAATTGGCAAAGTCAACCTCGAACTTCACTCCCTCCGATCATCGAATGCTGAACTCAAGGCTGAGAAAGATGAGATCTCGAGTCAACTGAGGGCTTTGAAGCAACAAGAAGACGAAACATTCCGTCTCGAAGAGGAGAGAGTTGAGCTTCGAACAGCCAAGATGAAGCTTGATAACGAAGTTCGCCGACTTCGTGAGGACCACAAGGTTGCCGTGGCAGAGCAAAAGGCTATCGAAAAGGAGCTGAATGAAGAAATTGAGAGAGCCAGTACCGAAGAAGCTCGCCTCAACGCTGAGATTCAGGACCTACATCGTATACTCCGCGGCTCATCCGAAAAGCGGGAGTTAGCTACAGCCAGAAAGACTATCAGCAAGCTAGAAGAGCGAATCCTGGAATTGGCAAGTCAGCCAGCATCGGGTGATCAGCATAGCGAGAATTCTCACGAATTATCTGAAATTAAACAAGATCTCACAGCATTGCGTCAAAAAGAGAATGAATACATTCAACGTGAAACCGCCCATAAGGATAAGGTTAAGGTTCTCAAACGACAAATTGCTGAGCTCGAGCGTAAAGTTCACGAGACTGATTTGGCACGTTTTAACGTCGCCTCTTCGCCAGCTTCGGTTGGTGGCTCTACTCATAAGGAAATCGGTCTACTTCGTCATCAGCTTTCAGAGGCACATCAGTCTCTCAAAGATCTTCGTTCCCGAATGAAGGAGTCAGACAGAGAAGCAGCACGAAAAATCAACGCCTTGAACATCAACTTCCAACATCAAGAACAAAGTTGGGAAGCCGAGAAAGACCAATTGGAGCGTCAATTGGATGAACTACGCCTTACCAAAGATGAGCTCTCAACGAGGAATGCCTCTTTTGAGGCAGCTATCAACAGACTCAGTGACAAAATCGATCGTCTCCAGAAAGCTCTCATGGCTGAACGTGCAAATAGTGGAGAAAACCACACTATTGCTCTTGAACGCAGAGACCTCCACGAAATGCTTCAGGAAGCTCAAATTCAACGCGAATCTTTACAACTACTTATCAAGGAACGTGAAACTGCAATCCAAAGTGTAAGCGCCAAGGAAGTTGAGCTTCGCAGCAGTCTCCGTCGAGTCCGCGATGAACGTAACCGAGAACGTGCCAGGGCCCTTAGCGCCAAAGAGCAATTGGAACTTCTCGAGGAGGAATACGTCAAGTCGAAAGAAGACTACATCAAGGCGAAGAGTGAATGGGAAGCCGAAAAGCGCACTCTTAGCAGCGGTGTTAGATTCCCAAATATGTCGATTTCGTACACCGAAGACGAAATTCAAGCATTAAAGAAGGACAGAGATGAACTAGAGAAGCGATTTTCGAAAGAAATTGAAAAGAGAGATGACAAACACGGAAAGGAGTTGAAGGGTCTGTGCATGCAAATCGAATGGATGAAAGCCCGTTGTGCTCGAGAAGAAAGCAAGCGCGCTGATTTGGCATACGCGAAGAAATATCTGACCGCCAAAATCAGCATGTATGATGCATGGTAAGTTCCCCCTTTTCAAGTCCGCTTAATACTACATTCACTAACATCCCACTAGCAACAAAGCTGATCTCCGCCTCCTCCGCCAAACAAGTTTGATACCCGAACCAGCTCCCGCCCCTAAACCCAAGGCCACGATCCGCACCGTAGCTTTCTTAATCATAGCCGGTCTCCGCATGCGCAAAGGTGCAGAAGCATGGGATCAAAATAAGAAAATCCACCAGAAGATACTCGGAAAATTAGAGGTCATGAGAGCTAATCGAGCAAAGAGAATTTCGTCTCAGGAAAATGCAGCAAGAGAAGAGATTCCAGGTTCATTATCGGCAAGGAAAGAAAGCTCGGGATCGCGCTCTGTATCTCGTGCTGGATCCAGAGATGTATCGCGGAATGCATCACCCGTCAAGGCAAATCAAGCACAACCGATCGTCAATCCGGCTTTCAGTGTCGCGAGGAAGAGTAGTCTTAAGAGTGCTGTGAGGGACATCTTGAAGGAGAGGAATGAGGGGGTGAGGGATTGAGTGGAGGGATTGCAGTAATGTTTGGGTACTCTCTTTTATTTTTCATTCCCTATCTTAGGCGTTCTTTCCAAATCATTTCTCTCCTCAAAATTCCTTTGTCGAGTAATGAAATTTGTCAATGTTAGGATAGCGGGAGTATGAATGCAGAAATGATTATATGCAATATGCATTGGAATTGTACTGAATTGGGTATGGGAAGGTCGAGTTAGCAAAATACTTACTGTATCTTTTTGGAGTTGAGGTTGAATCAATTGGGGATCATAGTTATGTTTCATGGTATACCGTGGATTAGGATGGAAATAACTTATAGTAGTTGGGTCTATGGCGTGGAGAAATAAATTATTACCAGATAAATAATACAGTCTTAGAGAGCATCTCGGGTAAACAATCTTGAGAAAAACGTCTCAGTGGCATAGTATTCATTATCCATCCATCCCAGTCCTTACTATCATTCATTTTGCCAAGGAAAGAAATATGCCAGAACCAGCCGTCAAGTCCTCGATCCATCAAATCCAAAAAAAAAAAAAAAAAAAAAAAAAAAAAAATCATAAACCCGCAGCCCGTCATTGTTCGTTCCCATCGAGCAAATCGTTCTTCATAGACCTCATAGCTGCATGCCTTCCCAATTCCCGTCCACATGCATGCCTTAAAATGTTGTCCCTTGCATCATAAATCCTTTAATACATTTGTGCGACTTTTTACATGACAAAGAGAAGATTGGTGTCTGCTGTCATTAGCATCACTAGACGGACTATAAAGGCAGGGAGGGGGACATACTCAACGGATGACTACAACTGAGTTGCGGTTTCTGGGTGTACTTAGTAGCGAGTTCGTCTCTAATACTGTTCAAAAGTTGAACGTAACTCTGTTGTGGATTTTTCTTCATGGCGCTAATGAAAGCCCATGACATGGCACCAGTTGCTTGTGCAGCGATGGTAGCATCGGCTCTGTATGCAAATCGTCAGTACCTATTCATGACCAGAAATGTAAGAAGGCATATGGATGAAGGTCGGCTAGGTCACTCGACCCAACGTAACTCGCGGCCCTTGGTCTGTATCTTCGCCAGACTTGGCTACTGGTACAGACCTCGGGCTTTATAAATTAAACGTGACTATTTCTATGTACATGTATGACCATAATAAGGTTCAGTATCCAGAAGATAGCATAAACTCCGACGCTAATAATGCCACAAGACGCCCTTGCAACACATTGTGACAAGGGGTTCTCCTGTTCTTCAAAATGCTCATCCATAACAATGACACGGTAAAAAATATACTGACGATGTTTGATCATCCTTGCTTCCAGACCACATAATCACATCAGCGGGCGATGTTTTGGTAGCCAATGTCTTGTTATAAGCATCATCTCCAGTCGTTGCTTTCTTGAAGAATCCCATCAAATTGCTTGCAACACCACTCATATCACCTTGACTGTAAGAAGAAATAACACCAAGAAGACCTTGGCCCGCTTCTTTCGCAAGATTTGGTTCTTTGAGAACTCCTTGAGTGGAGTAAACATATGGCAAGTCGAGGGCAGTTCCGGAATGACACGAGTCAAAAATTGCTGTCAATCGAACACCAGGTTGCAGAGGCTGGACCATGATTCTATGCATCTCGTCGTCGACAATGTGACCAACTTGTCTGAAATCGACTGGGTAAATAACTTCATCGTAACCATCTTCTTCATCCCCATCCAAATCCTTGGTTTGGCCACCATGTCCTGTAGACGTCAATACAAGTAAGTATATTTATACATGTTGAATCACTTACCAGAATAATGGAAGAATAACGAATCATTGGGTCGAGCATCCTTTACCAACCAATGCATGGCTCGTAATATATTTTGCTTGGTAGGCTGACTCATTGGATTTTGTTGATCGTCCGTAAGAAGAACCATATCGTCCCGCTGATACCCAAAGTTTTCATGCAAATATGATGACATATTCTTGACGTCGTTGATACATCCACGCAATTGACCACGCTGACCGAAATAATTGATACCTATTAGGAGTGCTTTGCGTTTTCCTGTGCAGTTGGAATATTGAAAGGCATATCCTTGAGGGGCACCTTGTCCAAATGAATGCATTCCCTGTGGTGGTGGTGGTGGAGCATTCTGATTGCCATTTGTATATGCGTTTGAGCTGACCGAGGGCATTCCTGGGTAGAATAATCAGTATTTCTGCTACAACTCCGAGATCATTTTTGCGAACCTGGGCTGCCATATTGTGGCGCGTTAGATGGCACACCATTGTATCCGCCGTATTGCTGAGGAGGGGGCTGTTGGAGAGAGATAATTAGTATTAGGAACGAACATCTGCGTGTGTGAACCTCTTACTTGAGAATATCCATAAGGCTGTTGTGGAGGCGGAGGTTGGTGATATCCGTAGCCTCCGCCTTGGGGAGGAGGAGCTCCATATGTTGGTTGAGGGCTGACGAAAGTAAGTGAGAATTCTAAGAGAACTGCATAGAGAGGAGGAAATTGATCCTACGGGTAGTAGGGTTGGGGCGGGTACTGCTGGTTTGGTGCTCCATAGCCTCCATTATTGTATCCCGGATACCCAGACATATTGATTATGGACGTCGACGTGATGGAATGTTGTGAGCCACGCAAGATTGTTGATTATTAATTGCTTTTTGTCGGCACAAAGCCGTGACGAGGGGTAGGGTGATAGCTTGCGGAAGCGCGACCAGAATGAACCGGATCGAAGTGATATGATGTCGAGAGACGAGATCGATTGATTGATTGAGTTTTGAAGGCGGACCGGCAGATATCTTTATAGCCGGTAGAGGAAGATATTCTTAGCTACCAGTAGGTTCCTGGTAATTAATTGAATACGTCGATGTTCCAACGTGGGGCAGAATTGCATGGAGGTTGGGTTTGGTGTGTTTAGGAACAGACGGGAGGGGAGAATCGGTCGGAAGATGCGATGCACAAGGTCGTGATAGGCGGGTACACTAATGTGCAATAGTGATAGTGAGGTTTGCTGATTGATGGATTAAGTGGTGTTGTGCTCTGGAAAAGGCGAGGCGCGCTGGGCAGTGTATGTTCCGTCAGCGAACAGGGGAAAGATCTGAATGAGTAGCAATAGCAGGGCTGAAGATTCTCTTCTTTTTTTTCTCTTTCTTTTTCTGCTTCCGATGCGGATGCAGATAGATGCAGATGCAGAGACTGAGAGAGAGAGAGAGGTGTAGAGATGCAAGCAAGATTGAAAGGGGGAGGAGAATGGATTGTAATAATAGATAATAGACAAAAGACAATATGTAAGTAGGTAAATATGTATGTATGTGGGCAGTAGGAAATCAAACAAATAAACAGACAAAGCCAATCATTAGATATAAATAAATGAGACTTATTATATCTCTATTGAGAATTCATACTCTACCGGGATTATGATTCGAATCAAATTAACTTAAAACGAGTAAAGTAGAAAGGGAGAAAGGTAACATTCACAATTTGACGGTAGGAGTAGGAATAGGAAGGAGTATGTAGGAGTTGACCGTTCAAATGTCGTATTATGTATCTCTACATGATTTTGATTATATTATCTATACCTATGATCCTCCAGATATGAAATTCTCGAATTTACTACATCTGATATCTCTGGTGTCTCTGATATTCTGATATTCTGATATCCTGATATCCTGATATCCTGATATCCTGATATTCTGATATCCTGATAATAGTCAACCTTGGAATGAGTAAGCAAGTGGCTCACCAATTCATCAATCAATCCATTCGCTACATACTAGTAGGTACTTGCCGCAAACACTCGAACTACACCTGGGCAACTCTTGATATATCTAGGTAGGTAGATATACATACCTACATACCTACATACCTACATACCTACATACCTACATACCTACATACCTACATATCTACATACCTACATACCTACATACATACATACATACATACATACTACAATACACCCATTCCAATCATCCATATTGTTCAACTACATTGATATGTATATCACATCTTTTCATTCAAAGTATTATCAAGTAGTGGGAAATCACACCATCAACCTTACATCCACCTCATCGTTGAAAGTTGAGGGTCCTAATACATCGCATTGGTGCATTTGCATTTGCAGGTTACAGTACATCTATCCATCATATTTCCCCCATGTCAAGGAAAGATTTGGGAAAAGCCACTCAAATCTATCTTCATGCATGCTTTCATACCTACATATCCATCTCTATGGCTGTCTTGCTGACATCAACAATTGGCTTGGCTTGAGAGGCTTTCACAGTTGTTCATTGACACTATTATTACCTAACTTCAGTATCTTCTTCGTTTTGAACCTCGTACGTATTATCCTAGGCATTGATTATTTAGTCAGAACAGCACCATTCTGTATCACCTTATTCTCACATCTCACGTCTCACGTTCTTCGTCTTCCTCTTCATCTATCTTCATCTTCCACTATGTTGTCTTTCAACATTGCTTCCATAACTTATTCCCCCTTACCAGATTAAGGCAACTTATCCAGTATTAATTCACATTCTTTTGAGGCGCTGCATATTCTTGAAGCTCACTGCATCTAATCGGAGAGACCGTGTTTCTAAGGGTATACCTTTTCACGGGGCAACGCGCGACCAAGAGTCAGGAAAGCCGACACACGAGATTAAAATCTCGTGCATGTTAAAATTATACCGGGTGACAGTTTGGGTATGTTAATCTGGTGTCACGTACCCAATGGATCCAGAATTCGAACGCATATGGAGATAGCATATCATGTCCTGCTGAAGAGGGTATCAACGCAGCTGCAAGCCATCTATGGCTTAGGTCCCTTGTATGTGCAAAATTAATCAGATCTAAGCTCGATCTTGCATATCGGTCCGGTGCTTTTCGGAAGAAGAATTTCTCTGCAGATAATCCAATATCGGCACAATGACGGATGAGGAAGATGAAAGCCCAGAACTCTCATATCCTTTGAACGAACATGGTGGTTAATGTGGATGATTTCGGACGGAGCGTCCGAAGTACCATTTTCATGGCTGGCGTGGTCGTGCATATATCCATATAATTGGCCAAGATATCTCGTCTAATGTCAGCCACATAGGTTCACTTGACGTGCTGCTTTATTGCTTGCAAACTTTTGCCTTGCGCCGAGGTCTACCGAGGGAGCGAGGTTCAAGAGCAATCCACAGAGTTTCACGAAAAGCAGCGACGCGGTGCTCCCCTCCCCTGAAGGATGTCTAACCTCTTGCAGAACAGCAACAACATCCATCATACAAGATACCATACACATTGACAGGTACCGGTTCTTTCCCTTCACAAAGCAGACCCTCATCTCATACAGTTTGAGAAACTCCTTAACTCAATTGTCCAATTATCTTACAAGAAACCGGCAAAACTTGCTTGAAAGCTTTGAAGTTCACTGTTATCCCAAGTCACCCACGTCAATCTACAGTTTTTTTTTCTATCTTCCCCATAACTTACCAATGTTCAGATTCGTACCCTTTACCTATACTTTCAGAGCAAGAAGTCTGCCTTTGAGACCTCGAGAGCTAGTCATTCCGAGAATTCCTTGTAGCCAGCAGAATTGGCTGGTGTCAAAGTCCAAATCACCGAAAATGATATCTACGTAGAAGCTAGAAACAGTGGATCTTAAGCCCTGCCTGCATTATCTGCTGTCAGAATCTTGTTTCCCACGTTTCAATGTTGACTCCAGATCTGTTGCCGAGTATGCAAGCCTGCGGCATGTGGCTATGTACAGGCGTTGAACTTACTTTGGTAGCTCTTGTGTTCTTATTCTTCATCTATCACGTCAGCTAGAATCTTGGCGCCAACTCACTTTATCAAACGTTGCTACGTGACATTGATGTGTGGATTCTTGTGTAACATTGCTCACCAGCCCCAGCCCTACGAGCCGGCTCTTTGATCATATTGAGGTTGAGGCTCCCGCCAGTCGATTGTGCAGAGTAGGGATGATGCGCAGGACAAGGTTCTTCTGATTAAGCATGGACCTACCTCTACTTGATCAATGTGCTTCTCGAATTATAAGACACACATCAATATTAATCATCCCCATTTGTGTCTTGTTTTCCAACAACTTTTATCACAAAATGGGTATTCACATTCCATACTTCCAGACATTATCACATTTAGATTCTGTGGGAAGATGAGATTTCGCCGCCACAATTCTAATCTTGACAGCGGGTCCCCAGAATGTTTGAGCAAGCTCAGGTCGCCGAACACATTACCAGATAACAATTTGCGGTGCCCCTATGCTGCTGTGAATTTTCACACTGTGGGGTCCCGAGGACGTACTGGGACTTTACAGGTTAACTGATTTGCCACCCTGCACTCGTTGTGACCAATCACGTAGTGCTAATAGAATTATCATATTCTAAGCAAATCTACATGGTACATACTGAATAGGGAGGGAGACATGCAAACATTGATAAATGTATACTGCCAGGTGCCAGCAAGCAAGCATAGTGAGCTGGTGATAACTAGGGTGGTGCACGCTTTACCCCAAGCTTCGATTCTTATCCTATGCTTCCAACGTGGTTCGAATTCCTCGAATAAACTGTTTTGTATCAACTTGTACGTGATACTAAGTTATATCGCAGACAAATTTCACTCGATTGAGAACGTTCCACGGCATCTGAACTGTCACGTACAAGCTTCCAGGGCTAAATCATTGTAACATTGACGCCTGTTACTGATAGCCCGTATCGAGGGCATCGAGCCAAACACTAGCGTGGCACAATTTGTCACCATATCAAATAATAACGTTGCATACATCAACCAATTCGATGCAAGTTGTTCATGGATCATTCAAGACAATACCTCCACCCAAACATCAGAGAAACACTCGGGTACTTGAATGCAGGGGGCACAAAGAAGTACGAGCATGTGCGACTCCCGTCGTTCTTTCCAGACTGAATGCAGTAGCATCACCGTTGATCATGGTACTTACCCCGAGATCACGACCGGCGGGAGGCTTCCCCTGACCAATAAACCGCAATGTAACTCTGGATATCTCCACTGAGTGGCCACGAATTCTTGCCTATTGGACTGCAACATACTTCTTGTCAAGTATACTAGTTGATTGGACTCCAATTGGGCGTTACCCATCCCCCTTTCTAATGCAGTACGAGCGTTCTAAAAGAACTCACAACATTAACGCGTTAGTAGCAGCTGATAGGGCCGCTTGAAGTACAACAAGGCTCCAGAACATCGATGTAACAAAGCTCCTCAAGTCACATCCATACGAGTTGCAGGATATTGTTCTCAGCAACACGCCACAGGGTGACAACTTCCATAATCACAGGCAAACTTGACACCCGCAAAAGGTTGCGTACCCGCTTGGTAGGAAGATAAACTAAAACTCAAGAGTAAGTTATGGAGTATAGGCGCTTCGGGTCGTTTGCGGCGTTGTCCTTTCTTTTCATAAAGAATATGCAGCAATAGGACTTAGGTGAATTCCTATGATGACTTGTACTGACTACCTCGTTTATGAATGATGACAGTTGAGTAAACTAAACAAATCTAGCTCTCGTTGAAATGTCTAGTCTAGTCTTCTCGGTACAGTTGTTTTCTCAACGCCCGGATACCTGCATGATCCAAAGCCAGGTGCGAATTTTACAAGCAACATCTAATACCGGAAATATTTGCTTTATTACTACTTAGATACTTTCTATCTACACTAATTCCAACGAGTTCGAATAATAGTGTGTCATGTGCAGCGCTTGAATGGTTATTTCGTCTCACGAGTTTCGAAATCTCGAATGCTGGACCTCAAATTCTCAAGTCGTATCAAGAATCTAACAACTACAACACAAAATCAGTGAAATCTCTTTTTGCCATATAAATATTAAGGTTAATGTTCACTTTCTGATTCTTATATCTTCCACCGACTTAGCTTTCGCTCATTCAGGATGCATTGGCACTTCACACGAACAAACACAACATCGAGACAACGCTATTCAACGTATTCAACCGTTGATAGATAAAAGACATAGCGTTGCTACAGCAAATTCTTTTGTTTCAACGCACAAGAAGGGATATTTGCGCTTAAACCCAACAAGATCAAGAATTTCCAATGCGATTGATCTCTCATCCGATACACAATAACAAGCTATACAAAAACGAACACTATCTATCTCTTCAGGCCCAGCACAACAACATCGACATGGATGAACAAAAACGAAGCATCCTCGCGAAATTCCTCTTGTGACATTCGAGGGATTTTCAGCTCTAAACATTAGAATGTGCTCAGAGTAGTGTTAGCGAACAGCGAACAGCGAACAGTACTTATATTCCGTATCCAGGATCGCCAGAAGGGGTTTATAGATGTAGACTAGAAAACAAATAAACAGATAAATTGAAATCGCATCATCCATACCTCCCTCCACCTACCTGCTTTCCATCCGCACAGCACTGGGTTCTCGAGAAATATAAGCAACTGGGCGCGCGTATGAAGTGTCTATCCTATTTTCTCTCGCTGGTTT